CAATTGCATACTATTTGGTGTTAAACTCTCAACAGTTAGAGTTTCTAAAAAAAAGATCTTGATCGAATTCGCCAAACCCTGGGTTCTTCCAGGTGAGAAGCAAATCCTCGGCTCCATCTATATCACCCCCAAAATCTCTCCGCAGTTTACCCAACGCCCCCCCCCCAGAAACCACAGCGGGTCCTGAAAACTGGTGCGCTCATCCATTTGGGAGGCTCTCCTCCCAGGGTCTCCTCTACCACACCTTTCCCTGCCTGTGCCAGCTGTGCTGCGGTGCAGGGTGAGGGTTTGGGGGATGGGAGGTTCAGGAAAGAGGATGAGGAAACAAAACAAAAGATGCTATCTGGAAGCTTGATTTTGTCTATTCTATATGTTCAATTCTTTCTACAGCCCCGGCCCCTTGCGCCCCTATCTTTGGTAGCTTTGGATGTCTTTGCTGGAGTATTGATGCCTCTTCAACTCCCACAACACCCGTCACAACCCGATGACAGGAATTCTTCTGGGACTGTGGGTCGCCCCTCCCATGAATCATATAGTTCATCCAAGTTCATCAGTTCATCCAGGTGCTGCCCACACACGTACCCACCGTAGAATGGTTGAAACGGCTTAACACCATCTACCATGAGGACCCGGATGTGAATGAGTTCGAGTGATGTGTTCCAGTGATAAGCTGAAAAACATCTGTATCTTGAACCACATGGAAGAGCTATCCATGCTTTTGGAGCTCGTGTTCCAATGTCTATCCTCCATCCCTCTCGGCTGGTCAGTGTCCAACGCCTCAACCCCGCGTAAGAAGAAGCTCCACTCCTTGTGAGCATTGGCCAGCGAAGATTCACTACCAGCACCGAAAGCTACGAACAAACAGTCTTGAAACCACCAAGATCTTCGAACGTGCTAGCTTTCCATTGGATGCTAATGATTTAGAGGGTCCTGGACAAAACAGTAACATGCACAACAAAGCTACCAGGTAGCCTCACCCTAAAAGGGAGGTGCCCCGAGGTCACAAAGCTAGGCTTCAGGATGGGGTGGGTGGAGGCTTCAGGCTCGATTGGAGTTGCTGGCACTACCGGGAAACACAGTGAAATGTATACATCATGTGGTCATTTATAATGGAACCTGGCTGGCACCTTTGTGGAAGTGTTTAACGAACATTCACAACTTGGATGTCTGACCCGTGTACGAGGAGTGCTTCGACTTAACGGGTCACTTCGACTTAACGGGTCAGTGTATACAGTTTGAAGTAGACACAATCGGGGCAGCATTCAGCTCCGAACAAAATAGGGATCTTGGGCCCGGGGCAAACCTGGTAGTCATTGAATCGTTCGGGACCTTGAAAGTAGTGCTTCAAGACGCCCCACCAGCCGTACCATTTGTTTTTGATCAATATAAACTGGCAGGTGTTAAATTATGTGTACTATAAACTAATGTAGACTCTTGATTAATAAACCCTCCCTTTGAAGAGGATGTTCAATTCAAACGGGGGGGTCACTTAATCAAGAGTCTACATTATATAACAACTATGTCCATGGTATAAATGCCACAGTTTTCTGCAGGATCCTTCGCACCCTTGTTCTGGGGGCCCTTTTCGTTGGTTGAGTCGTCTCGGTTTCGAAGCATCTGGTCACCACACGGATGGTGACTGCCAGGCGCGCGCCACGGATGGTGCTTCGGCCCCGGAAAGGTAACGTCACTCCCAACAAGGTTTGGGGAGCACTCATACCAACAAGCGGTATGTTCTGAGGGAAAATCAAAGTGGGCACTCTGTGCTACTGGTTTTCCGTGGCACGAACCCGCCGCAACGTGATACAGTACCGCCTCCGGTGTGATCGGTTGCTTCCCCATGAAGAGCGCGTGAGCCTGTACGCGATTTCGCAGTCAAACATCCCCTGGACGGCCCAAGGCAGGGGGGTTTGAAGGGCTGTGTCCCTTTGGATCAACCGCCACTCTCTGAGTGATGTCTTCAACACGTTTCTGTAGGTGCCAGGAGGGTCCATGGACCTTCTGACAAGCTCTGCGGTATTCTTAGGCTAAGGTGGTGGAATCCGCTTTGGATGGGCAATCTATCCCAATGGTTTGAGGCTCGCTTTCCCCATTGAAGTCAACAATTACTCGGTCCGGTGACCACCGGGTGACCACATCATCACGATCCTCCATGGCGCCACTTGAGAACTCTTGAGGCGAACGGGCGAACGATGTCAAAGGAGATAGCATCAAAGACTTACAGAACCGATGAAGTCTGAAGTGGATGATGCAACCAGCCTGAACTGAGCTCCAAGAAAGACCAAATCCCCTGATCCGACGGACCATGGGGTGTTCATAACATCTTGTGGTCTTCCAAAAAGACATGCTGATGGAGACCTGATGGAGAGATATGGAGAATTTATAAGAATATCATACGAACATATACGAACATGCAGGCAATTAAAAGGCATCGCATACCTAAGTTTTGGTGCAAGAGTTGCTGAAAGCACTCTTCCATTCTTTAAAATCATCCATTGTCATTAGGTATGTGGAATCGATGAACAGCAAACCCCTTTCAAGAATAGGGTACTACAGTATCGGAAGACGGGATTCCATAGCTCTATAGCTCTGAAGACGGGAATGCTCCCCACCCACCGGGACAACCCGAGCGTCTCACCCGCCCGAAACAACATGGGTGATACGATTTTCGTGCAGCAACCCAGACCCGCACGACGGAGTGCATGGCATATGTCCAAAATGAACAAGAATCGAAACAAATATAGTACATTACAGCTCAACTAACCAGCATATGTCCTGTATGTCCAGTCATATGGACATACTGTGACATACTAGATGTATATAGTACAGTACATTACAGCTCAGTCAGCAAATGGGTCCCTGCATTTTGATACAGATGTCAATGGTCCCCATTCTAGAGATCCGCTTGCACCGGGTCTGAGACCAACACCCGAAACCGTTCTTTGCTTAAACCGAAGCAACCGAACCGAACCGTTCTACAACAACCACGTCATGTCACGTTTCACTCGCTCGCAGCCCAGGTCGACCAGACCGTCTCATGGGCCTGCCTTGTGTCTCAAGCATCGGTTGCAAATCATGAACGCATAGAGGAGTTTGTGATCCTCGCAGCAAGAAGTCAGCAAAGCAAAGAGGCGTCGTCTGACCCGCACTGTGACAGTGACGTCACGCGCGACAGTCAAGTCCCGTTGTTCGTCACGGCCTTTCATAGGCAGTGTAGACGGTCGGCCGGTCGGTTTTGGGGTGTTCCATGAAAGAACCAAACCATGGGTGGCTAAGTGATGGCGATGAAATCTGGTCAACGTCCCAGTCAAAAGACCCCAGTCAACTCAGGTCACCTCCGCCCCTGGTCACAGCTTCCTTTCGAACTGAGAACTCCTGGTCTTCTGGAGCGTCAGAACGATTGGTGGCTCCAGTGTTTGAGGCCCATCGTCTTGTTCTTCGTGGCGCTGCTGTTCTGGAAGAAAGCATCGTGGCGCCACTGTTTAGGTTCTCAGGCTCCTGCTTAAAGGAAACACAACCATCTGGTATATACTATATACATATAGAGATCCAACAAGACGTGCAAGAAGGGAATAGAATATAAACAAGATCTTTGACACGGCCCACCAGAACTGCAATCAGTAAATACTCCACCGCTTTTTCCTCAAGCGTGCTGATCCGCCTTTTGGCAGAACTTTGGGAACACACTTCCTTGGTGTGAGACCGTTTGTCCGGTGCAGCGAGTTTAGCTGGTGGAAGGTTGTCTCGACACCAGCACAAGGACTCAAGACTCGGGTGTGTCTCACAAAGAGGAAGGACCCCCTTTCTGTACACCCTATGGCAAAAGTCATTTCTTTGCAGATTCTAGTCACTGAATCTGCAGCAAACAGATGCAAACATAAACAATATATCATAACTACAACCATAATGAACCATACATATACGCAAGCAAATGCAAGCAATATCTACGTCACATCCAAGCAAGAACCTGAGGAAGAAAGGCATGTCGACCAACCGAGTGCTGTCCGAATGCTGCTTAAGGCTTAAGGTACCAAGCAGGACTGACTGGTGGACATGGTATTCACCGTTTAGGATTGAAGCCTGAGCTCATTTGCGGAGGTTTCCTGTTCTGAGACAAACCCACATATATCTAAAAGATGTGAAAAGACATCCCTAAGACCCCAGTTCTATGTAATAAACACTATTTCAGGAGCTGCTGCTGCTGCTACTGCTGGATGGAGCCTCAGTGGCAATCAGCCCGAAATTGCCCAGAAGGCCACAGTGGCTACACCAGAAGCTTTGCTGTGGCATAAGTGGTTGATGAGTTGTTTTGCTCCACCTGGTGTGGAGATGGTTGTAACCTTCACGATGGTTGCTGAAACACAGCCCCAACCAGCTCACAGAAGTCAGCTGTGGATGCTGTGAATGATCTAGGTAAGTGAAAAAGGCCGACCTGGATGATTTGGTGCAGGAAATTTAAATGATGACACACTTGGACATGATGGTGCTGTAAATGACGAGTGGTCCTGGCAGCCATAGATTCCTTCATAGTGAATGCACGTGAAGATCATCTTATTGAACTCTCGGAATGTCCTGTTTATGGGTCTGCTCACGGCTCACACACACACACACACGTACTCACATATACATCATATACACCAACTGACCTTCTTGAGACACACCCAATCAAATTGAGCCATCAGAAAGCTCTGGCTGCACATTGTGCCAGGTGCAGACCGAAAATCGGATAGACGAGCTGTCCATGTCACGGTGTGGGAGTTTGGTGTGGGACTTTGTATACTCAAACGATAAGGCGGTCAATTCCACTGATCGGTTTACCGGGACTGAGGACTGGGACGCTTGATGACACTTGGACTAGGGACTGGAACACAAGCCATGGAAACTCTGTGAGAGACGAAAGTGACAAACGCGCCACAGAAGTCTCCCATCTCAGGGCGCCCCCCATATGTGGTGGGCGCCGCCCGAAGTTCCTTGCACGTCTTGTGCAAAGCCCATCGCCGTCAGGGAGCTTCCGCCATCTTCCTGAGATAGATCTAATTTGGGTGAATCGGTTACAGTAATCAATTGGATACACCCCAACTCACTGACATGAGCATGGACCATGGTTTCTGCGCAAGATTGAAAACTACATTCCTTGCAAGGAGGTGGTGCCATCCACTTCCAACTTGGTGAGTGGGAATGACAGGGATTTTGGCTGATGCCCCTAAACATAGACACATGATGTGGGATTACAACCATAGCAGATAACAACATCAAAAGGATACAGCTGCAAAAGAAACTGAACAAAGGCACACGATTCACAGAACTTCAAGACTGCTCAGTCTAATAGCGTCTTCAAAACTGCTGACAAGTATCTCATCTGACTTGTACTCCTTCTTAATCTCTTCATGCATCTTCTTGACAATTTTTTCCATATACTCCTCGCACGAGAAACAACGACTGAGGAGGAAGCTGCCGACGAGGCGTCACAAAAAGGCGATCCTTCCAGTACACTTCAGCAAACAAGATTCATGGAAGTGCTTCGAAATCCCAGTGCTGGGCTCTAGGTGTTCTGAAAAAGGATTGCAACATAAACATATTCTAGAAAAGTCAATAAAATAGCAATAGAATGCAATAGATGCCGGGTAAACTGGGAATATCCGGTCTCCGGTCTCCATATATTCATTGGTTTTTGAATCAAGATTCCCAATACGTCTGCACTCCGCGAGAAAATGAACATGCACACGTGTTTATAGAGATCCTGTTTCAGGGTTTCAGGGATCTTGGATGACCTTTCACTTAGGTCAGGGAAAGCCACTCTGCTGTCCCAAGCCCCGAGAGAATGGTGCATGGAAACACAGCGCAAAGCACGGCACACCTGCGTCGCGTAGAGCACGGCGTTGCAAAACTCTGCCTCGGTGACGGACCTCGGTGGCAGATTGAAACTGCAAATGCGGCATCCAGCTACCATCCTGGGATCGACTGGGATGGCTTCCGGATGCATTTCTTTTCCCACATCCAAAGAAGTCCCAAATCTGGGTGTGATGCGCTCGTTTGTGCTGTCTATTCTGAATTCTGAACTATCTTATCTTCATTACCATACCCTTGCCAGGTGTCTAGAAAGTTCTGAATCAAGTCGGCTATTGCCCAAAGCACAAGGCTTACAACAAAACAATGCAAACAACACTATCCTGAATGCACACTGTACCTGAAGGTACCTGGATATGTCTTCCTATAGATGATTTCGACCAAATGCAATTCTTTCCAACTCTAGATACGTCTGAGTCTAGATAGTTCTCTAGATAGTTCCAATTGATTTCTAGATACTGTAGTTCTCTATCAACTCTTTCGGTTGTACCACTTGCCTGGATCCGAACCCGACCGTTGACTGGGTGGCGATCCCATGGGACAGACTTCGACCATGTTCCTCTACCACCCAGTGATTCAATAACCTAGGCAAGTGCAAACTGGACATGATTTGTTTATTGTTTTAATGTGGTCCTCTAGGCCCTAGGCAGGAGGTATCTATTTGAAAACAGGTCTCCAGCAGCCCGTGGTCGATTTCCGTGCGTGTTGGATACAGAGTACTGTGAGCAACTTAAGCATGTCATGTCTGCAAGCCACTCTCCAGCGTCGCTCTCCTCCTTCTGCATGGCGACAATTTGAGATTGGAAGGTCCTCAGTTCAGTGGGAAGGGCCACCAGGGCAAGTCGTCTGCGCTCACCGGTGCTGACCAGCTTGTTTATTCATGGTGCTTAGTGTTGTTGACCAAACATGACTAAACCATCCCGCCAATCATACGAATGGTCAAAGCACGTGACAAACACTGCCAACTTGTGCTCCCCTGACTTGGCAGCTGAAACACCTAGAGACTTCTCTCTTTAGGAAGAAACATCCTGCACAGAACAAAAACACGACAGGAACAAATCAAACACCCTGTGTACAAACCCTTTCCTACATAGAACTTCATAGAACTGTCTGAAGAGAAAAGCCAAACATGTTTATAAGTATAAGCATTATTGTTGTTCATGATGAAACAACATGTAACTGAGATATTTCGAGATTAATCAGAATGTATCTATTTGTCCAAAAGCGTCATGCAATACCAAGCATATATATATTATTAATATGAGTTATACCAAGCGTCTTGATGAACTTCTTGTTTTCGCCTCCCCACCGCTGCTCGTCCTTTAAGATTCGATGAAGATACATCCTCTCCTGGATGATTCGCGCGGCGGCGCGTCCCACGCGCAGGCGTTCTTCTGTGGCGGTTTCCGCTACTTTCTGCAGAAAGCGCACCAAATGACAAAACTCCAATAAGCATCAAGATCGTTGCCACTTATGGACACAATACAATCCATGAATACATTGACGCCTGAAATCCATTCCAAGTGTCTCAGAGAGGTCACCATAGATGCAGGTCGATCCGTCTTCACATTATGTGTTCAGCAAAATTTCCATGGGCCTGTTTTTGTTTTTTCTGTTGGAGGTGCTTCTGACCTCTAGTATGACAGAAACAAGTTCTAATAGCTGTGGTAGTGTTGTAGAGGGGAACTCATTCTCCCAGACGTCCCAGACGTTTGACACTGTCCCAGACGTTTCGGACGCTTGCTGTGTGGTCTTGGGTGATGAATTACACACCCCGTCTACCGAGCACCTCGAAACAAACACCCCCGTGCCGCATGTCTCTCGCATATGTGTCTCTCTCGCGTCGGTTCGGATGTCGCGTAACATCGAAACCGCTCTTTCCAAGTAGCCATCTTGCTGAGATGCCGGTAGGGACAATCGGAGCAACAAGACTCATCAGCATTTACCACGTGGAAGAGCTCCCGAGCGATTTTCAACACCTGAGTGAGGAGTAAGGAGTGAGTTCGACAAAAGGTGGAGTGAGTTCGACGAGAGAAACGAAAGGATCTCTGAGAGATAAATGCAAATGTGTGCTGTTTGCTCTGTGCATCTATTTGCCCCTTCATGAAACTAAGAGTCATCGTTTCCTAGTTCTCGGGATCAAACAGCACAACGAGTTCGAACTTCTTTCTCCCCTATGAGCCTCCAAGTATCACAAACGGATCTCACCCATGCTCCTGGTCCGTCACCGGTGCTCCGGCCTTGTACTCCATGCGGGACAAGAAGAGCCACTTCATGAAGGCAAGGAACCACTTGATGGGCGGAAACATGCGAAACCTCAGTGAAATCATGTGAAATCTCTCTCACATGTTCTCTCTTCAAACAAGTTCTATCTTTTTCTCCAGCCCTGTGGGGCATCACTTCCAGGCCCCCACGATCTGATGCCGAAGACCCGCCCGGCCGCCCGGCCGTGCCGTGGCACGCCCCCGGTGGGCGACGCGTGTTTTCGCAAAAAAAAAGGCCACGATCCAGGGACCGGTTGGTGTCCAGACAAAGAGCCAACCAGAAGAATACTGTTTTGGTTGGTCTATGTGCTTTGTGTCTTGTCAACGACAACTTGTGTGTGTGTGTGTGTCCGCGTGTGTCTGACTTACTGTACTTCAGAATACACATTGAGTGTCATCTCAGGATTGCCGCTTGAAAAATCTTGAAAGCTGCTTTACATCGCAGGTTCCAGGTTCAATAACACACAACCACAACCTTTGAACTTCAAAGACCACCTTGCACCTGGCAAACGTCAAAGGTCGTGATCCGAAGAAATTCTTGAAATGACAGGAGTCGACATGAGTCACAAGTCCCACATCCACTCAAAACACCACAACAGTGGATGGTCAAAATATGTCAGAATCTTACACGCCAAAAGCAATCTCTGGACTCTAGAATTGCAAAATATGGCAACCGCCAACAGCAAGGAATCTGGATTGTCTCTACCCAACCACCTGGAATTAGTCGGCGACGCTTGCTTCCAACACAAACCGCCCCGCGGATGGTGCCGCTCTGGATCTAGTGGGCTGGATTTGATCCCTAGAGTGAGTCTGTCAAGGTACAGGTACGTACCCAAAACTACTCACCTCGACTTTGTGGAGGGCCACCTACCCGGAGGGGTCCAGAGTTCCAAGTTCAGTGGCCGAGAAGCCAAAAGCAGCATCCGCTTGTGACGGGCTTCACGGTGGTCTCCACCCATCCCTCCTTCTCCTCGCCCATGTTCACGACAGCGAGATCAACAATCGCCACACTGAAGCTGGGAACAGCTGCGGAAGCGGTTCCAACAAAGCGCGGCAAGAAGGCGTTAGTTATACCATGTTATACCGTGTTAACCCCATCTGTGTGGTGTTTCATCGTGGTTTTGTTTCAACGTCTTATATAATCCCAACTGCCTGCTTCCCTGCGGAAGAAGGAACTGAGGGAATCTGCTCTGTTGTATTTTATGGCGCGTCAACCAAACACAGTTCAGAAGACAGTGCAAGGATGTCCTTGCCTACCTTGCTACCTGCTTGACCTTTGGTGGCTTGGGGAACCCCAAGCAAAAAAGGACTCTTACCAGGACCAAGAGATTGGCAGTGTAAAGAAGATACCTAATTTCATGGCGGGTGCCTTAGATACCTACCCACGTCGAGACCTGGCAGAATATTTTTTAAAATATTCCTATATACTTCCAGCTATATCTGAAAAAATATTCTGTGAACTGACCAGTTAGTGGAATAGTTGTAGGAATTTAATATTCCAGAAAAATTCTAGTTTTTTCATTTAATTATTCTGGGTTTAGTTCCACCCTCCTTCTCACAAACAGGGTTTAGTTCTAGTTCTTTGAAATAATTATTCTGGGTTTAGTTCCACCTGCCTTCTCAGGATTGCCCATCTTTCATCACTCCTCCAACATGTTCTTCATACAAAAAATATTCTGGGGTTTGTTTTTAGTATCAGTATCACATACCTCCAGCCATAAATATTCCTGTAAAATTATTCCAGAAAAAATATTCTGTGAACTCACGGTATGACCTGGAATATTTAATCAAGGTACCCCCCATCTAATTTCTGGGATTTTCTGGGTCTGTCTGTCTTAACATATCCCCATTCTTTCATTTGGAGGTCATAGGCTGCATATTTAGGATCACCAAATGATCACCAAGTAGGGCACCAATGAACACCTGTTCGAGCACCGTAACCTCGAACTGGCGCAAACGCGCAAATACCGCGCGTGTTGTGTTGTTCTCCTCAAAGAGACCCATGCAAATCTTGGTGTAAATGAACTCGGTAAAGTCCTGGGAGGATTGGATTTTACGAAGGTTGAAGGGTTCAGAAGAAAGTCAGGGGTTCGGAATCCAGTTCCGATGTGCTTGGAGTTTGGGGGCTGAGCCAGGGCTGAAAAGGGCATGGGTTATCTTGTGATCATCACAGGTGATCATCATCACCAGTCGTTACTTGGACGGGTCAGTCGCTGGATCCTGAATGGGGGTTGTTCACCATCACTCGGATGGTTTGCGGTCTACAAGTACAAAAAAAGGACCGTCATGCTGAAGAGCGGAGATCACGGGGTCAAACCCTCGCCAGCATTGCCTTGGGGGTCTTCGGGCCAACACAGCTGCATTCGTGGATAGCATGGTGAATGCCCATAATAGGTGTAGAGGATCTGTTTCCGCCCCTACTGGCAGCCGAAACTCGCGGTAGATATGGTTTGGTCATGTTTGGTCCAGTTCCATGTGGCTAATGCTTCATGAGAATGATGGCGACATTCTTGGTGCAACACAACATTCTCTGCGACTGACACATTACAACTCAACTTTGGCGCAGTTTGGCAGCGGATGCAGCTGGTCAAAAACAAACCACTCATGTTCGTTTGGTCGTATTCATGTTCATCCTACAAAGCATTGCGCCCCTTCACCCTCTGATGGAGCCACTGCCCAATGGGCAAGCTGCTGGAAGATCTTCAGTGCAAGCTTCAAGGTCAACTCCCCAAACTCACAAAACAAAAGTCCCCCTTCAAACATCGTCAAATCTCACAAATTGGCACCCCCAAATCTTCTTGGTCATTGGACTGAAGAGTCAAACGGTTGGAAGAAGTCCAGCACCTGGAAGAGTCTCAGGGAGCATAGGATTTCTTACCCCAACACGAGCATCAGAGGAACTTGCTTCCGACGACCCAAGTCGTGAACCCTCCAACACTAAAGCTCCTGGATGATGATGTGAATGCGCCTGGCAGGATTTTGTCAGTGCGCAAAGATTTGTCTGACATCAACTGACCAAGTACGAGCAATGAGCTCTAGTCACTTCATCGTCACGAGGGACAAGTTTACCAGGGTTTAGTATGTAGAAGTTACCTGAAAGGCGGGACCGGATTCCGGACATCTTCGATTCTTCAACCTGATTCTTCACAAATACCGGTTGATACTCCGCTTGGAGAAGGAGAATGATTGGCATGTAACAGTTCACTTGGAGCTGAGTCAGGTCTTTCCTGATACAACGGACGGCTCCCAGTGACACTTGCTTGCATTGATGGGGCTCGCTTTCATGCGGCTGAAGTTGATAGAGTTCCGGCGAGTAAATGCGATCACACACCCCAAAGCGATCAAGTGTCATACCCAAACACTCCATGTATGCCATATATGCCTACATTGGGGTGGTTTGGGGGGTCAATGTAGGCATATGGCATCATCATCATCATCATCATCATCATCAGGCATCAGGCATCAATTATCAGGATGTGTGGATCAATGCCTCAAATTGGTTTCAAGTGACAAAATGGTTTCTAAAAATCATGATCCCCACCCTCATGAAATGGACGATCCTCGCAGTGAGCCAAAACGGTTCACCCACCGCAATTCCCCACAAAAATGGCTTCCCGAAGTCATCTTGTGCAACAAATGGAACATGGTTCCGGGGGAGTCTACCCACTCACGCTATTGACGTCGCTATAAGAAAAACTCCGACTGGGATCCCCCCACTCTTGCATATCTTCGGAGGTTCTGGAGGCCGCCAGGCGCTGCTCGAAGAGGCTTGCAAAGAACTGAAGCGAATATTGGTACCTGGCGGATCGTTTGGTTTTCGCGGTGCACGCAAAACCCGTGCGGAGAAAGCAAAGTGAGCACATCGGTTGATGGGATGCATCGAACAGTACGCATTCCCCCCATTAGACTCAGCGTCTGAAGTATATTAAGTAGACAGTAGACAACAAAATGTATGTTTCTTCCTACACTCATCCTTCTCAAGCTGGAACAGCGCGCTTTGCACTGAGGAAGCGCTTTTTCAAGCCTTCCCCTGTAGGAACTGGTGCGGCAGCAGCTCGTGTCAGCGCCGGCAGCTCGTCGGACGGTCGTTGCAAGTCGCATTTGCTGTCCAGGAACTGGGAAAAGAAAGAGCCCCGCACCCTGAGTTCCATAGAATTTCTTCAGAATCAAATGGTGTCATAGAATGTCGATGTCAAAAGCATCGACATAGGGTCAGCACGTATACCAAAGAGCATATGGATGGAGCAGGAATCCCGGGCGTCACTTGCTAAATCCGGCTGAGAACATCTGAAAGATTCGGCATGACAAACAGCTGTTTTCTTTTCTCAGCTCCTCAGAGATTCCCCATAACCATCCAAAACCTATAGAGGATCCCCCAGAACAAAGAACTGTGAAACCTTGCCAAACCTCTACCCTCGCAGTAGATTACTAGAGGTACCTTCCTAAAATGGACATCCCCCCCAGTTTCGTCCGTTTCACCGGCGACGACCACCTGACCTCCCGTTCTTTTTCTCCGGCGGAAGTCGCTCCCCGGAGGCACATGGGATCGATGTTGGCCAGGTCCGCCACCTCGGAGACATCGGAGACGGAGACGAGCGAAACGAGCTGAAGAAGCGGGTTCCGCGCAGAGTATAGGTGGTGCATGGTGGTGCTATAGATGTTTAAGCCATAGCCAAATGTTGTGCCTAGGAAACCTGCAATAGCTCACAAATGCTGACATACGTAGAGTGCAGCAAAGGTCAGTCCCTTGGTCACTGATGCTGACCGGACAAGACGCTGCTTTGGCGCTCTGCCCTTTCCAGTGCCATCAACAATCCACTTATTGTACCTCTGCCCTGCTGAACTCATTGTACCTCAACCCGCCCAAACACCCTTCAAAACACTTCAAAGATCTTCAATATCCGGTAGCGATACTCCACATTCCCTCAAACCTGCTGAGAGTACCCTCAGTAGTGATTCATGAAGTTCACTGCCAACCCCCTCCGTTTTGCAGGAAATGCAGGTCAACCATGGCCAACCAACATTTTTCACCTGTTCCTCTTTGAATGGAAACAGCAGTCCCTCAAATAGGTCTTGCAGGCAATCCACTTTTTCCTGAGTAGGACTGAGTTCCCCAGCTTGAAAAACCCTCAGAGTCTGTGAAAAACTTGTTCCATCTCTCCTTCCCCATCCAGCCCCGACTTCTGCGACGTCACTGGTGTGAAGGCTAACGCCTGCGCCACCCCACGCCAAGCTGACACTGCCAAGCTGCCACAAAGTAGATGATCGAGGCCCTTGTGGCGCAGGGTCTTAAGATCTCCGTGACCTGTCCGACGGCAGTTAACGGAATTTGGGATCGAGGAGGACGCCACTGCAGCCATCTGCAGCCCAACTAAAATCCACTCGGATGAAACGTGGATCGATCATGATCGATCGATCATCCGGACAGGGAGTGAGTGTATACTTCTCTTGACCAAGTTGACCATCCCACCGGACTTCTCGAGCTCTATTGCGGCGTCCTTCAGTGGAAAGCCCGCAGTGTGTGACCTACACAGCTCCGCTCATTTCGTCCGCTGTCATCCCGTCATCTCTCATCCTAGCGGAATCTGAAGCCTTCGCCGAGCTCGCCGAGCTGGATCGCTGTCCGATTCGCGATCTCAGCGCCTCGTCGATCTCCTTCATGGACTCTTCGGCCGAAGCCATGCGCTCCTGCCATGGCAGGGCCCGGGCATCACGGCGAAACGCGGGCGAAACAAGAGGGCCTGACGAGGAGAGTCATGTCAATTTTTTCGCACTTCACCGTGGAAGGTGGGCTTTCTGGAAAGTGGAACAGTACTGATTAGAATGCACCTAACATCCGTTTGAGATTGAGGAAAGCATCTTCAAGTCTTCAAAGTGGCTTTGTTAAGATCATTTAAGATCCCAACCAATAGACAAACGGACACCAAAGTGCTGGAGGTGAATGCCCTACATTTCCATAATTAGTGTCGCTGCCTCTTTTCCCTTAGCTATGACATTGCTCGGGAAGGCTGTGGCATATCATGGTCCCTCATCGTGCGAATGGTAGTCAATGTCACCCCACAAAACCTCCAAAGCAGGTACTCATGGTAGACCCTGAGAGGCACAAAGGCATACAAGGACCACGTGACCACGTTTCAGTGCTCCCATGAGGAGCACATGGACGCCGCAAAATCACTAGGTTGTAGTGGAAAATGGTTGAAACCACACCTGAATTCTGAGTGTCGCCACATGTCGCAACCATCTGCAGTCTTTTTCCCCAGGGACCCATCCAGGCGACCCATCCAGGCGACCCCTCAGTCGCCAGGCGGCAGTGCCTTGCAGCTGTCTCCAGTCTGCTTGGACCTTAAGAACTCACTCGGCAACTGGATCCCTACAGGGTCGTCTGAGTCGACCCCACTGAAAACGAACATGTCGTCCCTGAAAACCACGTTTGTGCAGCGACAAGAAAAAAACCGTCGGACAGAGGATGCCCGCCTTCAACCCGGGTCCATGTTCATATTGTTTTTTCGGGAGTGTATGTTTTGGCTATGAGCCATTAGGGTGCCAGGAACCTACAAGAACATTGCGGTCTTCCTTGGTATTGCAGGACTTCTTCCTTCGGGATTCACTGCCATGGCGGTCACCAGAACATGGGCACGTGAACGGAAGGTTCAATACTTCTGAGGACTGACTGTTGGATCTGAGAGCCCTTGCACTCTGGGTAATTACTGTTGCCTCATCCCAGTTGAGCCAACCAAAAACCTTTGCCACGTCGACTCAAGCCATGCCCCCGCGTGTTTCCGACCACACGCCATCCGGTGCGAACGCTCCATGAAGATGGCCCCGACTGATCCAACGTCACAATCAGCGTGTCATCCGCCAACAAGTCGTCGCCCGCCTTCATCGGTGTCGACCGGTCGAGCGGGTCCAAGAGCCACTATATGTGTTGGAGGTCCATTTGAATCCGAAGCCTGGAGTATGTGCTTTGGAACCCAGTGTGGTGATCAATTCGGCCAAGCCAGTTTACTTCACTTATACGGTTGTTGTGTATCGTTGTTTCAGGTTGTTTCAGTTCGCACCTTGGTTCTCATCTCTCTTCCACCCAATTCTACCGGTGCCTCGCTCAAGAGCTTCAAGATCAACTGCTCCAGGCGGTCCATCTCGGCCTTTTCGCGCCGAAAAGGGTCGTCCGATCTTCTGGACCCTTGGAGTATGTTGGAGTCAGCACGAGCATCCGATGAGCTGGTATACCAATGGAGTTATGAACCATCCTACTATGAACCATCCGACATCCTATTGGAATTGATCGATCAAATGAGTCCATGAAAGCCCCAGTTCCATTCTTTGCGATCCATTTGGTCTTGTGAAAAGAATGGTTCTTCTGAGTCCTGAGCTGGACAATGCTGGAACGTATACCGTCGTTTTGAAACGTATCATGTACCGTTTAAACAATGAGGACTGGAAACACATATTCTGTTGGGTCATGTTTCATGTGGCCTGAAATAACATCCCGACATAGGACTCACCACTTTAGGACCCACTCCACACCCGTCGAATGCGCACGTCCAAACACCTTCCGCAAGACCATTGGTGTCGTAGTGTAAAACCCTTAGTAAAATAATTGTTGTTTGATGTTGTTTGGTAAAGCCTATTAAATAAATGGTGGTTGGAATCCTAGCATACCACTAACCCCGCTTAACCCCACCATCCACCGGCCAGCCCCGCCGGTCGCCAATCACCGCCTTGTCTGCAGCGATCTGGACGACCAAATTCGCACGGAGCTCGGCCAAATCGGGCCGTTCGTTCTTCACCACGTCTGCCACCAACTGGTCCTGGGAGAGCCCGTTGGTTGACACAAAAAGGATCAAAAAGGTGCTTTTCACTCTGGTACTCTTCTTCCAGAAAGCAGCAGTGCAGTTGATCGTCTCATCCTTGGGTTGAATTTCTTCAAAGGTGACAGTAGTACACAGTACTCAGCAGTTCTTATGCAACCATCAACTCGCTGCTTCTAAAACAAACACCCCCCAAACCCCGTTGGTCACCAACACTCCAGCTCTTGGAAGCACTGGAACAGCACCCGAGCCGAGCACGGCTTCAGCGTCTCCTCCAAGCCCAAAAGCGTCACGGTGAAATTGATCACGGTCACCTAACAGGCGAACCAAGTCGCGTCAGCGTCACAGGTTCTCCACGTGTAGCAACCAAATGAGAACAGCAGTTTTCTGAGCAACATGGGACATGTCAGGACTGTGCATGAAATGAAGTAGTCACCTTCAACAACATGCTACCCGTTTCATCCCTTTGGCATCCTTTGGATGAAACCAGCTTAAACGGAAAAATTATGTTTCTTCAACAAACAAATTGAAGCCCTTGATGTAGGCGCTAGCGGAAGCATGGGAGCACCTGGTGTACGACCCCTGTGTGCTTGTAGCTCAAGGGGCCACTGTCACTGATGAAATTTGACAATTCGATCCAGAACAAATGGATCTTATCCTGCAGTGGGAAGTCATGTGGCAGTTGGCGGGATGGTATCTATTTAATTATGGCACGTGCAAAGGTCCCTCTGCTAGGGTACCAGAGTAGCAACGGTGCGTGGAAGTGGAGCACCCTGGGGGAACTAGCAGGATGATAGGTTTCTCACCCCAGACTTTTGAATATATACGTTCAAGTCACACTAATGCAATTCAAGACTACACTATTTTCTCAGAAACTGATTCTTGTTTGGATGTTGCTAAATATGTTGCCACCACAGTAGTTTGTGTTGTTCCTTTTCTAGCCCGCTCTTACTTCAGTAGATTGGCGGGCCAATCAAGAATGCACCACTAGGCTGCTTCAAACCTTGGCTTCGGAAGGAATTGTATATAATATGTATTGTTCAAAGATAAAAGTTTTTGAACATATGTATATACCCTTCAATGCATCACACTTGCTGTGATTAACTGGCTCAACAAGAAGTTGCGCTTCTTAAAGCTCAAAACCCTTCCCCCTGGAATCCTACACAGTTAGACCTGGGACAGTGTGCGCCGTGCGTGTGGTCATGAAAAATCACCCTGAGGAAGCTTATATTGCTATAGAATACTACCTGATGCAAATTGTATGCAGGTGTGATCCTGTGAAATCGATCCGCAGGAGACCTAACATGATCTGACAGCTTTAGAACACATGAATTAAGTAAGGCATCAACTTGTGTCTGAATGAAGCCACAAAAAACAAGGTTTCACGTCCCTACGGGCCCCCCCGTCTTCGTGTGGGCAGGCCCATACGAAATGGCGTTTCGAGCCTTTCAAAAGTCGAAAAAACAGTTGTAGCGGCCTTTTTTCAGCCGTGGTCGGCACGCTCTCAGGTGTTTTACAGTCAAGCGCTTCGAAAGCAGCGGCACCATGCAAGTGCACCATCTGCACACAACAAAGAACCTGCTCGAACATTCCGAAACAAGCCTGAGGTCACTATATCAGCACACAAAAAGTCTTTTACTTTTACACCGAGAATCGGGTCCTCCCGCGAACCAGCGGCCCGAGATGTTTTTTGCGGCGCGCTCATTGTCTGACATCCGGCTGCCAAACTCAAAAAAACAACGCCCGACGAACACGCGACTCGACGAAACCACGAACCGACGAAAAAACGAAACGACCCAAACACGAACCGACGTCATTTGCCCCCCCCCCCCCCCCCCCCCCCCCCCCCTGAATGACTGTTGGAACCCTGTCTGCTTCAAAAACGTGCAAATTCACGGGGGCCCGTACGGACGTGACACCAAAAACATGGGCTGCCTTAATGCAAATCTCCGGCAGGTAATGCGGGTTGGCCATCTTGGTGGTCACGAAGAAACGGAAGTCATCATGGTAAGGCCTCAGTGGTCGATGGAGATGTGTCATCGATCCTGAGAAGTTACTCAAACACCTTTGGCAGGGTTTCTTGAAAGCTTCTTCGGGGTCAATATAGTAGTATCTCCAGTATATCAATATAGTATCTCTAATATATTTACACAATATCTCTTTTCCATATACAATATTATACAATATACCTTCGATTCCCTTCACATCAAGTTGAAGACCTGTGAACCCCACCACGCGCTTTGTAACTCATGATTTCTAGGCCTCATCCAGCCTGGGATGTTTGCCTTATGGAGAACCGAATGAAATATCGAAGTATGACGTTTCTGTGGAGCCGGGCCTCTTTCTTTCGCATGACCCGTGTTTTTCCGGTCGTCACCAAGGAGGGGTTTCATCTGATCCACTGCCTGGAAGTGGAAAACCACCTGGAACATGGTCTTTCATGGGTCTTTCTCCAGCGTACCGCGTCCCATTTCGGGCACGCGGTCTCAAAACCGGAGCCAGCCCTGAGCTTCGAGCACATCTTCACTTCCAAGCCGGAGCAACCACTGGCCACCCTTCTTGAAGACCTGATTTCAGGTTCTTTCAAGGGCACTGCTGGAGGGAAACCTGACCACTAAACAAGCAAACTCTGAGATTGTTCTCTTAGAGGGAAGGGATAATGTGTTTTGTTATAAATACTGTAGCATAATCATTGGTAGTCTATCAACCTGTTCATGCTAGATATGCGGGAGCTAGTTGCGTCTGAAACCAGCATCTCTTGATCTGCTGCATTCCTCCATCTCGGCTGGTTGCGCCACCGCTTCAGCACTTCGAACCCGTGCGGTGAGCTACCACCACGCGGCCACGCCTGTTTCAGGAGCACCGGTTCCAACGAGGGATCCAAGACTTCCTCAACGTTCTCCAACAAGACCGCGTTCCCTGGCCCCGAAGAGCGATGGGAAACGGAGCGATTCGAGCTGCGGGAACCGGACACAGAAACGTCGGACACTTCGGGGTCTTCAACGAAGAAGTCGCGCTTTTCGGATGCTAAAAGGGTGGACTGAAACCTGGCAGGTGGTGACCCAAGGTGGGAGGGTGCTGGTAACCTGGTAGAGGATCAACAACGACTAGCAAGAGGGTGGGGAACTCCCGTGGTCACTCCGAATGGCTCCCTGTGTATTGGGGAAGATGGATACCCCTGGCTCCTCAGCTCCCCCCTGAGCGACAGCTAGATTATTTCCTGGTCAACAAGGCTCAAAACTGCCAGGAGGGTGGAACACACTACGGATGTCCTTCCGCGGAAGTCTCCTGTTCGGAGAGAAAGAAAAAGCAGTCACCACCGGCTCCTTACGCAGGCTGACAGGTTAGTTACTTGCTAGGCTTCATCTCTCTTTCAGCTACGGTGATAGGCCAGCTGCGCACCATAGCAGTCAGCATGTGCAATTGCATAGTTGGTCATCATCATACAAGTCTGGCCGGTCCATACTCGGGGTCACAAGATCCTTGGCCCGATGCTTGTCTAGCTCAAAGGGTGATAAGTCTTCAAAAAAGGTGGTTCCATCATTCCATCCCCAACCCGATAGTGGTCTGGCATGGAGATTTTGTTATTATATGTTTATAGAACATGTTTTTTACAACAATTAACTGGTCATCTCGTCTGAAGTCATCTCAACTTCCGCCAGCCAGGTGCATGGAGACCAGCTATCGTAGTCTCGTGAGCCAGATGTGTCTTCTTTGCATCTGAGACATGGTTTGTCCTTTTGCCCCAGCCGCCCCTGGCAAGCACTAAATATTTTAAAGCCATCTAGCAAGGCCAGCGTGACATGTTCATTACGTTCCCAAAAACATCAGGATCCCAACAACCCTTCATTCCACATCATTCCTCATTCTTGGAGCAAGTGCACGTGAACAACACTGTGAACAATGATATAGCAAGCACCTCATCCTGCAGCCTACCACGTCCCTCTGCCAAACACTCGCGACCCACCCAGGCCCAGCCCCACGCGACGCGGAGCCACCCGTATCTCTTCGGGCCTTCGCGGATACAGTTCTCCACGGTCCGCAGGAAGTTGGGCGTTGAGAGTTTGATGATGCCCAAGCCGCTGTCCTGGGCATCCCCAACACCCAACACCCCTATCTCACCTATCGATTTGATGCGATGGGAATCCCCTGATGTCTCGATGTCTCGATGTCTGAAGTCCGATCCCCTCCAGTCAACGGCGTCGTGGGAGATGGCCCAAGGTTCTCGTCTCGTTAGGCCGGGCGCCGAAGAGTTTCGTTCGCATGTGGAGACCTCTGAACTCCAAGATGCTTCAAGAAGCTTGACCCATTCAGGTCCCTCCAATCACTATGAAAAGCATGTCTGAAATGCCAACAATATATATATATATATATTGAATCAAACGGAATCAGACTTATATATATATATATAGGATTATATAGGCAGTTCCTCAAGGTATTGGCCGTTGTGCCCAGTAGCAGAGTGCTGAATGATGTCAAATAGGGATTCCACTGATCTCTACTGGTTGGCGCAGGCCATCTCCAAATCTGCGGCCGAATCCACGACCAGCTCCACTCCAAGAAACTAAACCTCGCCAAAGCGCTTATATAAAGCGTTTACAAAAATACAAACACTCACTTAGATCTCAATCAAACCACCCCATATGAAGGACGTTTTACCATCCAAATCAGGGACGTGTTAGTTTCTCAAGAGTCTACGACCATATTACCATTTTACCCTTTCACCATCCCCGGTGCCATGACAACGGTTCTAGTCAAACACTCCCCCGACGTCCGGGCGGACCCCGGCGATCCGCGCCTTCTTCATGTTCCGGATCCAACGATTTCCTTGCCCCTGCGGATCGATCATCAACGGCCACCGGCGACCTGAGTCCGAGCCGGTCGAGACCGGACGTCGCAGACGCCGGCACCGCAAGAGATGGTGCACGGTGTGAAACGCGACAGAAATGGGCCCTGAGGAGATGGTGGGAGGCCCCTCTTGTTGAGTATCGGCACAAGATGGCACAAGGGACCCTGAGATAGGCACTGGGTCTGAAAGATGCTGAGATTGTTTGTCTCAAGTAGTCGAACGCTTGGATGCCGTGGGATGCATGCTGAAGTTCCGATCTGAGCGTTCATGCAAGCCAAAGAAATCGCAATGATTTGGTGAAGCAATCTGAACCAAAAACACACAGGCATCACAAAGACCTTGCAAAGCGTGATTGTTTCCAATATAGAAGTTCGTAGGAATGCAAGAACATAGGGAATGCATGATGGGCCCGTCTCAAAACACGGAGAGTCTCCGAACAAACATGACTTGGTTGATGTGAACTGGTTTGAACACACTGGTGGCTGTCTACTCTCCATCATGAAAAAACACGTGATATGTTCCACAAATACTGGTTGAATCAGGGCCCTGTCCCGCACAAACCAAAACAACGGCACTGTACACCAGCAACTGGCGCCAACAAACTGTTGAGTGAACCCCAATCCCTACAGAAAATCGCGTATCTCCGATCTCAGGTGCTTTGCGCCATCAGAAGTGTCGCACACATCGCCCTCTCAAAGGGTGGATCCATAGGGATCCCTCCCGTCCGAAAGGCCTCGGCTTCAGCGACCCGACGCTGCGCGCGGTGGTGACGACCAGGCGCCCCGGGCCGCGCGTCACCAGGAGCCCATTCTCCACCGAGAGGTCATCCGAGGGCAAAGACCTGCGGAAACCGCGGGGTCTTCTGGTTTCGCCGCTGAGTCTTCGGAACATCGAAGTCACATATCCGATCTTCCAAGATCGCTCCAACGAAAGCAATGGTTTGTTCGTAAGTTGGACCAGAGTTGTAAGAGTTACTTACGACCAGAGTTGTAAGAGTTGTAAGTTGGATCTTTGATTAAGACCAGAGCTGTAAGAGTTGTATACATGTACTTACTTGCAAGCTGTATGACTTAGACTTAGGCCTGTCACCTGAACAGCTGGTGCCCTAGGGCGGACATGTTAGCATCATCAGGTGCCATCAAGTCGATATGATATACAGTATAGGTGTTCAATTAGATTAGGGGGACCCCCGTTTGCCCTGGCTGGGTAGACTATGGTAGACTGGTCTATTTTCCGAACCTTCCACAGGGATGAACTGAGAAGTCCCCCTATTTTAATCCACACTCATGCATCAGTGATATTGAAAGGGAATGGAAGATGATCTGCGACAACTCAACCTGAGTGACTGAAACAACATTTGGTGGATTTCCAAAGCCACCTGTGGGCTATATCCTCAGAAGCGCTGAATCGTCAACACTGTATAAGTCATTAGTCAATCACTAGGAGGGTTTGCTGCACCATGTTGCTCCTGTTGCTTCATGAAACATCTCCCCATCTCCAAACCCAGCTGCAGACGACATCTCCTCTCCACTCGGCTTGGGCATCCCCGTGGCGGAGCCCCGTGTCCACTGGGCGTCCCATGCTTGATGTTCCACTCACGGATCTCTGCCGGGTCGCACAGCGTGTCTGCACACCTCCCAAGGTCGGGCTTGGGTGGCGCGAGGTTGTGCGCGCGACCAAGCTGGTGCGCCATTCCTCTAAACGCCAAATCCATGTGTCATATTCACAAATGTCATCAAATTTCAATTTCTACTGAATTGTGTTGGCTCTCCGGTTTTTTGATTTAGCAAACTGTTGTAAGAGAGGCCATCAACGATAGGTCAAGTTGACTCAGACCCAGGTAAGACTCAGAACTTCATTCAGCCCCACAGAAGATCATATGCCCCTGGTAAAGGAGTTGTGTTCGTTGTGTTCTACCAATCATCGTGTTCAAATGTACAGTAATATCTATCATCTACAGCTCAACTCCAAATCCATCAGCAATGTGAAACTATAGTGATGGAACTACAGCATAAAACTGCTCGTTCAATCACATGATGTCTAAAGGCAGGTTTCTTTCAGAGTTTTTCTACTATCCTCCTCAAGTGACCAAGATTTGCAAGCCTGATCCTTCTTCCTTCACATTCCTCCACTGGGCACCCAGGCTTCCAACCAGGATCCGCTGTCAGATTCACCTCGAGGTCTTGGACTCAACCGTTTCGCAACTGGGGAACAAAACTCCAACGAATTAATTACCTGCCAGGGGATCGAAAAGGACTGGAAAATCACCAGATCCCTTCGCACCGAGGAACACACTCGGTGGGTGTCCTAGCCCTAAGGGTCCACGACCATCCGATTCGGATGCCCTTTGACCCCCCAAGGAAGTACTTTCAGCTCCAAGACCATCCTCAGGAGGTACCTGGACCCTATGGGTAGTATCACACACCCAAAAAGCGGATCCTAAAGCAATTGTATGCCGGTCTGCGGATCGATTTCTGCAGGTCGTTTTGGGGCGCGTCCGCTCGGCGGGTGGCGCGAAGAGCTGAGGCGAAGAGAAGCAGGTGCAGCAGGTCCAGTGGTGACGGTCCAGGTCCAGGGCCGGTTTCGGTTGGTCCGTGAAGTCCGGAGGAAATGAATTCAGGACCGGTGACCATCGGTGACCCGAGGGACCGATGCTAGGAGTCGTCCTGGATCTCCCACAGATGGGAGGGTCCCACCTCCTTGGCCTTCGCTAACCAATGGCTGATCAACCTGGCGATGACGCGAGTGACGGGGTGACCCCTCTGTGACGAGTGACGGGGTTGAATCACGGACACTCAGCCGTTCTCATGAAACAGGTCAAGGCACCCATGAAACTGATCAAAAACATCAACTAGGACAAATGGCCCGGGAGCTATAAAACTATAAAAGTCTCAAACCCTTTCTACACAAGACCCCTTCGCAAGAAAGACCGAAACACCTGGGCCATCGTTGGAGTATGCTGTAGTAATCTCTGGAATCAGATTGGATCAAACAATTACATGTTGATTCAATCCAATGGAATCCAAAACATGTTCAAATCCAATCCAAATCATGTTCATGGTTGCGGGTGATTGCGGGTATGAATCCTGTCCCAATCCATCCCGACCACAGAGCCGAAGGGACAGGGGTGTAGTCTTCGACGCGCACCCAACCACTTCCTAACTCTATGTATGGAATAGCTGCAGTTACATATGCCATTGCCATTGGTTGTGTCTAGAGCATGGAAGGTCTTCTTGGATCCATGCCGAATGTCTGAACATGAGCGGGTTGCTTCCACTCTTTTGGCCAGTGAAAAACAAAACATGACAACATGCACGGAACCTATCTATGAATCAATCATTTTCTTGAACCTGGCAAACAGAAGACACAATCTTCAAGTATGCATGAATAAATACAACTAACTATTATGATATATCATGATATATTACAATATAATAATATAGTGAAAACGCAAACCAAATGGGTACACCGGTCCCCCCAATCTGCCAGCAGAAACTTCCGAGATTCTTCGCGATGCGGAAGAAAATCAACACATTTTCTGCTCAGCGATTGATCAAACGTGACTGTCGCCTCACGAGAGTACATTGTACAACCTGGTATCCTATTTCTCAGTATTTCTTCTTCAATGACGTGGGATTCCATTATGGATGTTCAAGAATATAGGATGCTTGTATTCTAGAGTTTCAGTCTCTGGAATCAACAGGTTCGATGTTCTTTGGTCAACCTTGGATCCACTTCCTAGCATCTTTCCTTGTCTCCAATATCTCCAAAATCTATCTCCCATCTCCACTCATTTTTTTGGGACTGCCATATCGACTCATATAGACCAAACCTGGTTGGTCCGTATATGTTGGTATAAATAGCTTTCGGGGCTCCACGTAGGCTGCACCTTGCAGGTCGTCCGCTGCCCGAGCCTCGCGCGGAACTCCGCGGTGAAGGGCCCGGCGTACGCGATGAAGCCCGCGGCCAAGGCAATGTCCCCTGGCGCGAAGCGAACGACGAAAAGCGGCGCGACGACTTGACGCGTGAAGACGAAACACGACGCGACCGAGGTGATCCATGTCAAAATAGATCAAACTAGTACATATGGATGAATTATATGCCTGGGATTTCATAGACACAAGGGACTAGGGATCGACCAAAAAGACCTGAACATTGTTCATCTGCAAATGCAGCATCTTTTTCTCAGGTATACGGTCCAAAACCAAGAGATGTCCACCTGTGCCCAAATCGCAAGTTGCCCCAACCTAAGCATCGCATGTGTTTGAAGTTCACCACGCACGCACCCAGTGCGAATAAAGAGTTCCGCTTTCACCGCCCCCAGGAACCATTTCTTGGGGGATCCTAGTCAGCTACCGCCTTCGACTGTCTCCAAGGCACCCATGACGAACTTGATGTTTTTCTCCAAGATCTTGCTGGCAGCATCCCAGCGCACCGACCTGGAACAAGTGAAACGTTTTCGACTCTTTGATCTGTGGCCATGAAGGGGTTGCTTGTGCAATGAAATTTTGAACAAACACATTTGGATACAGCAATATGTTCAATGTAAAGTGGTTGGTCAGGGGATCAAAAGGGGTGTTATACATATCCAATATATATATATATATAAATACAGATATAAACCCAGCAGTTGGGTTTCATAGGCCCAACAGGTTGGTGCAAATTGTGGGGTTCAAATTGGCGTCCTGCAACCAACATTATCTTGAGACCCACCCCTCACACACCTCCTCCGTCTTGTAGGGTCTGTACGTCTGCCCGGACTGAAACATCACATGGATACTTGGGCACAAACCGGCACTATAGTAACAATATGTAACACTAGCAGTCACTAGCAATTTCACCAGCGTTGAATGATGCAGAAACCCGGCACGTGCCGAGGCGACGAACCCGAGAGAAAAGGGACAGGTGAGAATAGGAGGCGCCGAATAGGAACATGTTGGCAAGCAGGGAAGAACTGTGAGGATGAGTGGAAGACGAAGAAACAAAACATTGCAAGGTAGGAATACATAACGCCAAATAAAGCAACTTAGTAGCGGTAGCGCCAGTAGGCTAAGAATGTCAAATCTGAAATAGTAAAGCGGGAGAGACAATCAAACAAAATGCAAATTCATTCCCACGCCCGGCCTGGCAATAACAAAGTGGTCTTCGCCCAGTGTGTTTTGTAGATTTGGTTTCTTTGTCAATATTAGTGTTCTTTGTTCAGCTATTGTTGCCCTTTCAAATCCTTGCCTAACCTCTTCTGAGGTTTGTTTCCTTGGAGCTATGTCCATTTCATAAACTACACAGGCTGTGACGCTGATGACGACGATGGCTGCTACTACTACTACTACTACTACTACTACTACGAATACTACGACAACAACAACTACTACTACGACAACAACAACAACTACTACTACTACTACTTCTACTACTATTGTTATACTACTACTATTACACTACTACTATTATACTACTACCACGATTTTACCACCACCACTACTACTACTACTGCTACTACTACTGCTGCTACTGCTATTACTACTATTACTACTGCTGCTACTACTACTATTACTACTGCTACTGCTACTGCTACTGCTACTGCTACTCCTCCTCCTCCTACTACTACTACTAGTACTACTACTACTACTACTACTACTACTACTACTACTACTACTAACTGCACGCGTCCAGGCAACACATCCGTTCACAGCAAGCCAGATCTGCCATGCATTGGTTCATGTTCCCATTAATTGCCAGCTCTGTTCAAGAACCAGAGCTTACGATTTCGAAGATGTGCACGAAAGGATCCAGCTGCGCACCAAGCCAACTCAATGCTCCTTCCAGGCCCTCTGATGGGTCAGTTTCCGCAGTCAACAGGAGGCGCAGCATTCTCAATCACTGGCAATCCCTTTTGATCTGGCAAGACCATATTTTGCGATGGTATGACCTTTGGTCAAGAAAATTCATGTGCGACTATTCTATTCGTTTGGGCACAAAGATCTACCAACTGATTTTGCCGCCGATGTTCTCTGCAAGTTCGATGGGTTTAAGAACGTTGCGTCATGAATCTTTCCGACCTAAATTATCTATCCTCAATCCTCAATTGTGATGATTATGCGAGGAGGGACCGTCTCAGCGTCAAACTTTCTCCTTCAACCGCTCGCCCATAACAGCACTACCGTCTCTCGCCAGGCGGCTCATTCCCCAATCCAGCCAAAAGCTTTTCGGCCCGGCCCAGTTGCACCTGAAGGTGGACAAGTCTGCTGACTCATCGAAGTTTGAGGGAAGGACCATCCGAGTCATCCAGGAACTACTTTGGCCACATGTCTACCGTTCAAAGTATGTTTACCTCAGAATCTTGAGATGATTGAATCGATCCCTACTTCTCACAGCAGCCCCAACAATGCTCCTCTAAAGAGCTGGCGGGCTAGTGGTCTATCTGCTCAAAGATACGAACGGGAAACGTATCAAAAAAAAACAGTATAATCGTTCAATCGTTTTCGTGTTTAATGCTGGATAAGCCGGCTGTATACTGGATGATGTTGAGTCTTGACCGTTTTCGTGTTTAATGCTGGATGGGCATCTGTATATATACTGGATCATGATGTTGAGTCTTGACGTCCTTTGACCTACGTTGGCCGGTGCATTTTTCATGCTTTACATGTCTATCTTCTTGTTGAAACACACAGAACTCCTATGAGTTCCCTTGTGATTATACTGACTGCTGAAAACACGGTCTGTTGGGCTATTAAGAGTCTTGGCTAACGGCGATGTGCCACATAACTGGCCATTGCAATCATACGATGCCCGTGAAGTACATTCACTGCAGTAGATACCCTGCCTCCAACAACGGAAGCGGAAAATTCCCTTGTACAGGACAACGGTATTCTCCGGCATCTTCAGTCCGGTTCGCGCTTCCAGATCCACAAAATGTCCACCAGGTTTCAACCATCACCAGGAGTTCAGGGCCCGAACCAGGCATCACCAGGCAGCCGCACCTGCCTGGTGCATCTCTCATCTCCCCAGCTGCCCCGTGGACGTTTCGCACCGCACGCAGGTGCCATGAGCTCCGCCTCCCCAGGTGGGTTTCGCATCCGCGCCTTGCAGGTTTCGGCGTCTTGCTCCAACTTCTCCGCCTTACTCCTCGGGTTCACGTGGCTCGGGTTCACGGTGCGAAACGAAGCAGCGAACAGGGAGGGCTGAAGAGGCGTGAAGATGGGTATAAAATAGGTTCCTTCCATGGAACAATCACCTCCTGGTGTTTTGAGTGGTTTGTGTTTTTTACGGTACTTAGCCTTAGCAAATGTGATTGGAGGTCTGGAGGCATGACTTGGCCATACGCGAGATTCACGTCCAATGGTTGGGGGATGTCACAGGTATGTAGTTTGACATATTTGGTTTAAGCCTGATAAGCCATGGCTCAACAGAAAAATGGGATACCGTGCAGCTTAGGGGCTTTACTTTTGTAGCCTCCATGTAGGCTCACACTCTCTCTCTCTCTCTATCTCTCTCTCACGCAAGGGAATCCAGCCGAGCTCGTACTCCCCCACCTCGCTCGCGCCAGCTGCATCTGAAGTCCAGCCACCTGAGCCAGCTGTGTTTGAAGTCTGGCTCCAAAGACTTGCCAATTCCTGTCCAATCCGAAACACTGGCAGGACTGGATTTTATTCATGGACGCCCCGCACCAAACCACCCCAACCTAGGCAAATATGGCAGTCCCATGGAGTGTTTGGGATGCAGCAAAATTCGCTTGGCTCTTCAGTTCGTGACCTCAGAAAGGATCAGTATACCTGACCTGGTGGAGCTGGCTGTGCCAGGTCTTTAAGTCGCTGTGGGTGAATACTCGTCAATAGAAGCAACTAGTAACAAGAAGCTACTTGGGGCACCTGGCCTTACTACTAGGAGCAACGACGCTACTAGGGGCTCCTGGCATCGCTACTAGGAGCACTCTTACTACTAGTATATAACAAGATGCTTATATAAGACCTAAGACCTTTCGCTGAACTCTCCATGGCACGAACTATGGCCCGACGATTCAACCAGCAAAATCCAAGCACCAAAGCGCCGTACCGACGCAGCTGTGGAGTCCTTCTGAGACTCTGATCGCTCTCTGAAAGTCTATCTACTCATTTAAGCAGGTCAAGCTCGCTCCCAAGCAGGGTGATCCTGATCCAAACACAATGAGGGCATCTTGGGCTGCCCAAACGTTGTCTTGGACAGCCTTCAATTCCTTCTTCTTCGCCATCAACTTGTTCTCTGCTGCAGCATTGGCGTCCTGGCGAGCAAATCCTAAAAGAACGAGTGACTATATATAGTTATATCAGTTGATGACCATGGATGCCAACGGGGAGGCTCACCAAGAAGTGGAATTTGCATGAATCTTAGTTTTCTAGGGCCCATAGGTTTTGTAGGTCCCTGTCCTACTTTCAAACATCGATCTGTACCAGGGGCCCTGGTATGGTCAAAACTAGCAGAAATGCCAGAAAAAATCACCTGGCACTGTGGTCAGAGGGGCTGATCCAAACCGCAAAGACGTTCTGTCCTGGTTTTTACGGTCCACACCCGAGGTCGTCCCAGGGTTGTGGCCAACCTGTCCGCCTAGCGTGCACAACAACCGTCTTCAGGACAAATTCGAGGAAGACATGCAGGTGAAATAGTGTGGGTCGTAGAGAACGACCCCCCAAAAAAGAGGCATCCGGAAGAGGAACTTACAGGATATCTACTTCCCCGAAATGTTTCGCATCTATTTTTATTCTCCCTCTGGCACGTGACTTCCACCGGTCCTCTGCTTCTTTCAGTTTCTCTTTCTTTGGCTCGATGGACCGAGCCACACGGGCGTACCTGTTTGGAAACACACCGTGACTTCCTCCGGTCGACCGTAGATGTTGAGGGCACTCGAATGTATACAGGGCATGTCCGACACTTGGGAGAAGAAACACACTGCCCTTCAGGTTGTGCTGTGTTTATTTTTACACACACATATAGATGACATAGACATAGCATAGAAAATATTGTACAGACAGTAGAAACTTGCAGCTTCCACTGAGATAGGTCGAGATAGATCATCTGTGTGAGCCTGAAGAGAACTTGGATTCACCTAATGCCTTCAAGTATCTTCTAAACCGCAACCACGTAAATCAAAACAACACGTCAAGATGCTGCATGATTGCCAAGTATGGGTGTCAACCAACATCTAGCAGTCCCTCAACAACAAGTGGATACCAGTGAACACAAATCAGGCAGGTGACATGTTGGAAAACTGAATCGGCAAGCCGGTGCACCCATATATCAAAGCAAATCTGACACCGTTTTTGCAACATATTCCAGAGTGACCTGTTTTTGTTCCAAATTGTGTTTACAAACCAACCCCTGACATCAAACCTGGCTTTCAAACTTTAAACTACTGACAAAATGCATCGGGTCAAAGAACTGGAAGGTTCCCGAGTGAACATGACCTGCGCAGAACAACTAAGCTATACAGGTGCTCATGAAGTAGACTGGGGACCAAACTGATGTGCACACACACGCGCACCAAATAGACCATCCTCTCCCTCTTGTTCGGCCTGCGCAACCCCGGCAGCACGAACTCAGTGGGACTCGGCGTTTCGGCCACTCCTCAACTCTGTGTATTTCAGTGAAGCGGGGCACACGTCCATCGCTCGCACCCACATGCACAACGACATAGCGGCTGTGGAGACTTTCTTCACCTCTACAGAGCAAAGCACGACAGGGATGGGGAGAAAGAGGTAAAGAAAAGGACCAGTCGGTGTTAAACCGCTGGTTCAAACAGTCAAAGTATGTCAAAATATTGAACATCTTACTTCAATGACGTCAACTATATTTAATCTATATGTTAAGATTATATAAGGGTTCCAAATTAGAGACAGGCTCAGGTAGTCCAAACCATTTCGGCGGGGAACGTCGGAAACATGTCAACAAATAAATTTAAAGGTGTATACAGGAGACGGTACTCAAACAGCACCCAAACGGGCAATAAGTCGGTGAAACAAACATTGCAGTATATATTGATTCGGTACACAATGTCGAACGAGGTGGAAAGCATCTATCTATATGGTTCTGTGCACACTGACCGTTCAATAATTTGCACTAATTCAAAGAAGGTCTTTCAACGGTGAACATTAAAGGCACGAGGTCTAGGCAAGGTATGCGACGAAAAAACTGAACTCTGTTTGGTACTGAACATGGGTACTGCACCCGCGGGGTCACGTTCCATTTTCTGGTCACAAACTGGGGTCTGCTGTGTGGCGCGGGAGCGCTTTGGACTTAGTCGCTAGGGCTAAGTAGACAGCAGAATAATTTCATATGTTCAAGGCCGTAGAACCGTAGGGCCACGGAGCTGAACTTCAAATAGAAATACTGTACACTGCACATCAAAACGGCAAAGAGTCCTAAAACTTTTAACCGTTCGGGCTGTTTTGTGGCCCGTATCCTTTTTGCCTTACCGTTGCTTTGTTCTCAAGTCAGGTCGTCCAACGAACGTGTTGTTAACTTTTTGCTCCGTCCAAGTGAACAGCGCTTCTCAGCGAGACAGGGCTTTTTCTGTGGTCACCATGAAGTCTTTCACATTCTGATTGGTCCATCTCTATTGCCATTGCCGACACCATGTCTTCAATGTAGGGTTCAACACACCTGAGTTTGAGAGGGATAACAATAGATGCATGGGTAAAACTCGTACGTCTTGTGATTCAGGTTCTACCTTGTAAGATGGTTGATGTACTTCGCTTGTGCCAAGGCATGCAGCCCACTCTTGGAGGCCAAGCGGTGCCACACAAAGTCTTGAAGCCACGCCAAGCTGCGTCGATGTTCCTTGTGTGCACATGCACTGCTTCGACCGGCGTCTGGCCTGCAGCGCACAAATTGTTAACGATCATGCACTGCATTATTTTTCAGCACTGCAGCACAGGCCTTAAAAGCATTGATTCCACGGTCATCACTGCACTGGTTGTGCTTCATCCCAAAGTCTTTTGCCCAACCAGGATAGAGCCAGGCTCCATCGGTGATGCGCACAGACTCTTCAGAATTTATCTGGCGGGAGCAAGAATGCGTTCTAGACTTTGGACTGATAGCTTTCGGCTGTGTCCCCACCAAGCCGCAAGTGGGTCGCATCTCTGGTAGCTCCGGGGCGAGGTCGCTGGAAGAGACCGAAGAGCTGCGCCCAGGTGCTTTTCTTCAGCTTCCATTTTGCCTCGATTTGTCCTTGTAAAGTGGAGTGTGCGTGCCTCTTAGCAGGGCACGCTGCCTGTTTGCTTCAAAGGTGCTTGAACGCGTGACTTCCCAGAGTTTCTGTAGGAGCCACCAGTGCATGCCCTTCAGCACAGCGGCAGCCGGAGCTTCCACAGATGGGAAAACTTGCGGGACGCTGTGCGTGGACATCTGCAAGAGCATATTTTGCCTCGATCCGCATATTCTTTCCAGCACAAAGGTCTCAATTTTCGACCGCAACCACAGAGGAGTCCATGCCCAGCCTGTCTCTTTCAACTTATAGCTTGCCCATGCTTCCAAACTTCTTGAAGTCTTTCAGATCCAGTGGCTGCCTCAATCTGCGGCACAGCACGATGCGTTGTTTCTTTCAATGCTATCTTTTTTCTGGACCCCTTCTGCTGCTTATTCCCTGTATTGGAGTCATAAACAGGCGCATGTCTGCTTTTTGTTTGTCGACAACGCAAAGCCTTGTGGCCTCCAGGAAAGGTAGCGGCACTTTCCGTTTGAATCTGCTTTGGGCAACTCTTTGGGTAATGCCGGTGTTTGCAACAACAAGTGCACTGAGGGTTACGACTCGGCATCAGCAGCCGCATCGCTCAACTGCGCTTTGCACAATCCCACATCGGAAATCGGTGACCATCAATATCTTATTGGCTCCAGTATGCCACTCCCGCGGCGGTTTCAATAGCCCTGGATCAAGGGCTTACCGCGACAGGTCTCAAAGTAAGCTGTAGAGCTGGCGCGCAAAGCTGTCAATGAGAAGCTCCTATGGTCCTATGGCCCGCAAGACTTTTCCAGTGTGGCTTTTGAAACCACACCCCCAGATGATCAAGAGCATCTACGTTTTTTTTTTGCACGGAAAGGGCCACACTTCTGCTTCCGGCGCACAATCTTGGATTCACTGCACCAAACGCGGCTCAGTCTAGGCTTGATATCGCATGGATTCAATGCCAATACAAATGCTGGAGCCAGGAAACCTGAAAGCGCTTCCCCCACAAACGGCCCCAAAGAAGCCACTCCGCCTCCTCCCCGGTTAGCATGAGGGACGCAGCAGTCATTGGCCAAATCCCATGCAGAAATCTCCAAAGATGAAGTCCATGTCACGATAGTAAGTACTCGATGGCGTGAATGCGCCGTAGCTCATCTGGGCCTGTTCCAGGCACTGCAGCGATTCAGCCAGCTCTGCGCCCAAGCTCCCACAGCTCGGTCTCCACCTGGATAGAGCAACGCCAGCGTCACATTTAGTAGCTGTCCCACGTTGCTCGGAACTTCTTCCACCGCAGGTAAACTGTTGAGGCGCCACCGCTGATACTGACGTCTTAACTCTAATTTGTAATAATTTGTATATCAATTATCTCTAGTTGGGTGTCCAAAATCCCCCAAAAAAAGCTTTTGCATGCTTTTGCAGGTATTTAAGGTATTTATATACTTTCTTCCTGTCTGACGGCCAGGCACCCCAAAAAGCATCGACCCCCGCCACCACTGCCACCACGACCACCCCGGAGACCGCTCCGCCATTGCCCGACCACCATCGACCACCCCCGGAGACCACCGGAAGCATGGCCTGGTCGGGCTGGAAGTCCTCGCGCTTCACCTGGCTCCAACGATCCGACACTCATTGGGGACCGGAAGTGAGCGGCCACCGCTTTCAAGACCCATCTTTCTCTCTACTGCAACTGTGGTTGGGGGTCATTCTGCAGCAAAACTCTTTAGACCCTTGTAAAGCCGGTGAAGTGTAGATGACCCCTAGGTCAAGGATTCTTGAAGGTTCCGTTATGTTCCGTTCCTCCAAAACCCTCACACTCCAAAACTCCTAGGCCACTGTCTTGGTCGTTAGGAGCCTTCAAGATCCCTTGCAGGAGCGCCCTGTTCTTTTCTTACTTTGCGTTGGGATTTCTCTCGTGCAAGCAATAAAACCCTGAAGAATACAGGTGTGCGGTGTGCCGCTCTGTTCGCTGAGCATGGACCTTTGTAATTAGACGTCCGAGCTATTAACTGACATCAATAGAACTTGAAGATCAAGCTTTCTTCCAAAGGATGCAAACTAGGATGCAAACTCATCAAGAAACCCGTGCCTTTCAGAATGTCAACTCAGATCTGACGTCTGACTGCACATCACGATCCCAAAGACCCCTGGCTCCTTCTTTAAAGCGTATCAACCAACTTACACCACTGAAAATCAATGCATTAACGTTCAAACACTGGTCAGAACCGAAACAAATCCAAACTTGACTCAGGCTCAGGTATGTGTTTTGCTTGTAAAACCGTAAAACCTGTTTAACACAAACTTGGAATCGCCAGGTTTGTCCACTTCTTGCGGCTAGCGACTGAAAGAACACCGGACACGGTTCCGGACGGGTGAAAAGTAGATGGCATGGGCTTCGAAGAAGATGACTTAGTAACAACTAACCTCTATACAAGGAAATATGCAAGGACCATAGATACAACCAGGACCCTCTGTATAAAGAACACAAACACATCCCCATCTTCCTTTGATCCTTCTTAATATAGAGATAAACATATATATATATATATGTGTGTCTTCTTGATGAGAATGTGCCACATACATCCACGCACGACGCATACCATGTGCGAGAAGACATCGGTCGCTGGGGATTCCGACGTACTTCTGGAGCTTTTGCGTCAGCTTGACATTGCTGGCCAGAGCGTCCTGGCATCTCTGCACAAGCACTTTTTGCAGGTCCCAGTGTCCAAGTGAAGCGTGAGAAAGCACGTCCGTGAAGCGTCGCATTGGAAAGGCGTTTTTGGTTCCCCGACATCATTGGCTGGGCCAACACGGAGAACGCCTGGCCCCTTTTCAATCCGAATTCGGACCTTGTTCAATCCGGTTTGACCAGTTCCAGCTGGTGAACTCACTCCACTTCCACCATGATTCATGGTGCACATGCACATCATAAAGGCAAACCATAGAACTTCATAATTAGTACGATGCGATACGAATGATGTAGCTTCACCACTTTTGGACTGTACATACCAAGAGAGGTTAAGTGACCTTATAGGACCCTACTGGGATACCTATGGGATAGTCTATAGGGTCTTTCAACCTCTGTTGGTATACAACAGAAAACAACGAGAAGAACATCGCAAACCATCCAACGCCCATTGGCGAACTCGCACACCTCATTGGCGGTTGGCGGAGTGGTCATGTGCTGGTATCTGGTGTCTATTTCGTTTGGTTTGGTTGTTTGCACCTTTCAAGAAACAGCACTTAGAACCTCAAAATCATTCTGCTCTGCATGTTATTCATGTCATTTGTTTCGTTACTGGTTGGGATTGTTTGAGACTCAAGTCTGAACCCCTTCTTCAGGCCTCTCAAAGGATCGCGCCTCTCTTCACCATCGACCAAAACGAAGTCGACCACAAAACCTGAAGCATCGGCCAAAACGCATCGTCCTTGTCGTACTCCTTGAGGCTTTGTAAAAAGCCTGTGTCGTTCATCACCTTTTTGGCCTGGCCGAACAGCATGAACATGCATGAAATATAGTTATACACAGAAAACAGCTGATCATGGGGGGTTGTACATATTATATAAGGAAGCATTCTTGTTTCAGAGAAGAGCATGGTTCGAGGTTGTTCCTTCTTTTAGTTTCAGACTATGTGTCTCGAGACATTGCCTTTGGATGTTCCTTCTTCTGGCTTCACAATATTACGTTCTTTGAGGAAACAAATCGATCTTCACAATTCTTCACACAAAATCAAAGGCTCAGCTCAACAAAGGCTACGTTCTTGTGGCTCAGGTCCTAGCGCTCCCTGCTAGGACTTGCTGGGGTGGTTTGCTGAGGCAGGCTTTGGGGGGCACACAGATGGCCTCATCGCGACGACGGGCATGGAGTCTTGGGCGGGCCGACGAGGGGCTGGACGGTTTCGGGCCTCGTCCCAGGTCTCCTTGCGGTTCATCAAGAGGCAAACCTCAGACGGGTCATCCAGCCAGCCAGCCAGCCAGGCAGTCAGTCAGTCAGTCAGTCAATGTCTCCAGTCTTCCTGGGCAAGAGTGGCTGACTAGAGTCACTTCGCGCGTACAAAAAGGGTGTAGACACTGGATACCTTCAAGAGGCTCAATTCCCAAATGGTGGGTTTAGGGTGTAGGGGTTTGCCAAAATGGTCTGTGTGTGGGATATTGGTTCGCCAGGAGTTCTGAGGGAGGGGATGTGTGTGGTTGTCCTTCTTCAGCAAGGGTTTCTACAGCCTTTTGGGCCCAGGTGGTTTCTACATGCTGAGGCACATTCAACTCATGTGGTCCCTCTTCCTCCATGTAGATCATGGAATCGTGAACTACAGTTGGCAAACGGACTGACGGACTGACTGACTGTAAGGACCCCAAGCAGCTTCTACATCTTTCAGGCTGTGAAATGTTGCTGTCCACAAGCTTTAAAGGGAGGATGTGTCACTCATAGTTAAGGTGGATAAACATGGGCCCCATACCTTGCAGTGTATAACCACCCCACCCACATGGAATTTCACATTCAAAGACTGTGGTCGAGATGATGAACCAAGAAAAGTGAACAGTGTCTGGCCGTGACTGCTGGCAGAAGGGCTTTGCCATGGCTTCTAAATGGTTCTAAGGGCGATGAACAAACACAGCTCTTGGTCCTGAAATGTTTACATTCCGGAAGGCAAGACTGTCCAGTGAATTCTTATCGACTATCGAACTCTAAAGTAAGCTGTGGCTTGCATCATGCAACTGGCATCCTTTTGGGGGTTTATTTGCGGCTTGACCGTGCAGGCAGTGATGTAGGCAATCGGTCACTATCACTTCGCCGCGACTTTGCCTGTCTCTATCCGAGTGAAAACCTCTGCCATCGAAGTCCTGACTTCGAAGTGGAGGATACTCTCTTTCCTTCCTACTAGACTACTAGATGCTACTAGATCAGAGTTGGAAGACCGTCAGACGTGCACCAAGTCAGACGTCGAGAACAGCTGAAGGCTTCCGGCCAAACGTTCGAACCGAGGTCTCCGCTCTTCGCCCGGCGTCGAAAGCCACGGCTTTGACCGAGGCCCACACGGCGCTCAGGACCACTTCCACCAAAGGGGGTGGTTTGGCGAAAGACTTCACCTGAGAATGGTTGGGCGGTTTGGCATCAAAAGGGTGATGAAACAACATCTATTCCATTCTATTCCCCTTGGACACCTTTCTGTTGCGAAAGAATCTACAACTAACTACACCAATTAGGAGTAAAAGGATGTCCATTGGTCGGACTACTCCATCTTTATAGAGCAATCATTGGTTGCAAATTGAAGACACGCGGCGGTGGGGTTTGATCAACCCCCGACCCCACAATGAAGATTTGTGGCACAACGTCAGGAGGACGATCCAACGGGCACCAGGAATTGGCTTGAAGACTCAGGCTGTTCATCCTGTGTCTTCTGTGAGGCGGACGCCGTCTGGAGCATGGTGCGAGATTGGCAAAGACTTGAGACACAATGCATGTACCTCTGGCTTCACGGAGGCTTGATCTGCTTGATCTGTGGAGATGGAAGCATTCCCCGCCAAGAGCTTCTTCGATCTTCGATCAATGATGAGCGGATTCCTTCAAATTAACCTCTTGAGGTATACGGCGTATAGTCACGAAGTAGCGGTGTATACAGCGATTGTTACAAATGTTGTTATCTCATTCAGCAACTGGAGTGGAATCCTTTCAGGAATCAAAACAACCATGAACCATACTCAAACCGCCCATGAAAAAACTCTTTAGAGCCGCTGTGCAAGAACAAATGAGCGGTGTCAAAACCCTACGGTCCGTTATACTCAAGATTGTTCAAACGGTTTGTGGAAGGATTTTTGCGCTTCTCAAAAGTTGAACTTTGGAAACTGAATTGATTGATTCCAGCATGGAACTCCACCAACAAAAACTGGTGAGATGCTCAAATCTGTACTTGCCCAATCGCAACAATCTAATCTCACAATCAGAAAACAACCTGAAAATGAGAAACCAGGATCCACGCCATCAGTGCTATCAATCCTGTTGAAAGGCGAGCCACCACCATCCATGACGAAACAAGGATCCACACTGGGCTGGGTGTAGTGGCTGTCAATCCAGTGCCAGGAGCCTCCACCCACCTCCGTCCCTCTCCACCTTGCCTCTTGAATATCTTTCTTGTCCAAGGAGTCCAATGCCTTGATGGCGTTGTAGTACTCCGGCAAGGCCTGATGCACAGGTTCGGCGCGCTGGTGCCACGCTTGCTGGGCCGTCTCCCAACATCCCAACAATGCATTGGGACGTATTGGGACCAGGACTCCACATCTGGTTCAAACATATGTCTCATTATATATATATATATTACAAGCTAAGCAATGAAATAACAGCCAGCAAGCCCGAAACCCGCAACATTGAGTTTATCTGGGAAATAATGAAATAGTCCTTTATATAGATTTATAAATATAACTATATGTATACTACTCTATATACTATACTGTACTACAGTGACCTTAAGCGCTTCAACAAGTCACATAAGGTATCATAAGATCCTTATCCTGCCGGATCTTTCTTGAATGTTTTGTGAGGCTTGCAGGACACCTTTCAGCAGGCTCGAGGACTTGAAGCATGCCAGGCTGCCACACCCTTCCTTCTCTTCAACATTCCTTTCCTTCTCTTCAGGTATTCAACAACCTGAACTACGCTGGGGATCCGTCTAAGACCCAACCTGATACCCTGAGACCCTTTTCGACCCACGTCCATCGCATGATACCCTTCGACCGTCACCCGTCTTCGACCCTCAAGACCAGACCCACCGTCCGTCCGGTCCAGGGTGTCCGGTCCGGGTGGTTTCGCGACCTCATCGAGTTCCCGTTGGCACTCCGTCTTGATGGCGTTGGCCGTAGCTGCAGCCTGACTCGCGACTCGAGGCGTGGTGTTGCGTGGTGTTGGCGCTGTCTAGACAGCCCTGGCCCCTGAGATCAATGGCAGGGAAGTCACCGAAATGGGTTAGACTGACTAGACCTGGGAAGGTTGAAAACTTTTAATACTTAGAATGTGTTCAGTAACGTGGAGTAGATGGCGTGGGAAGGTCCAGGAACATGCAAACTGCTCCCACGCACTGGAAGGTCCAAGACCACCAGCCTGTTCCGGCCTCCACCGTTCTCCCAAACGATCCAAACTCAGCAAGAACGGCCGAACCGGATCTAGCGGCCGAACCGAAAGACACCAGAAAGGGATCAAGTGAAGCGATCAAAGCACCACAAAAGGGATCAAAGCACCGAAAGAGCTTGAGTTGGAATGGACTTCCATTACATAAGCGGGGGCAGTCTGTACTCTGTCCGTGGGGTTGCCCCAAAATAGATAGACAAATGCAAATATATATGGCGTATACATTCACCACCAAAAACCGCCAAAATGTAGTAGGCCAATGTAGGCCATATTTTGCATACCTGGAGTGCTTGGGATAGACAATGCGTTGAGAGTTGAAACGTGTCCCTCTTCGAACCTCATTGCCACCAATACTCTCAGGGCGAACCAAAGGCCTTTCCAGTGGGGCACAAAACGGTGGCACCCAGGTCCATCCAAGTCCCGTGACCTTCCCGGCCTCCCCCGCTTCCTTCTCGTCCACCTCACAGGAGGCTTGGGCTTCCTCATCGCGGTGCGCGGCGTTTCGTCGCATGTCACGAGATGTCTTGGAGGGCTTTTGGTCGGCTGCACCAGCAGGGGGTCACGGGAACTCCCCCTAGCTCCGAACGGCTCCCTGTTTAATGGGGATAATATATTATGATAATATGAATATCTCTGGCTCCGAATGTGGTTGGTTTCTCCTGAGCAAAAGCTAGTGGCAGCTAGTGTTCAGACCCAGGCCCGCTCCAACGTACCGAACAAAATTGCTTGCACTCCCTGGAATCATAATGAATGGTTTTGAAGATATATCATGTCCTGGAGCAAAGGATCACATGGAATATACACTTCCTCACATGAATCGAAGCGGAGTTCACCACCTGTTTCATCCCTTCGTTCGCATGGGGCGTCCACTTCCATGATGATTCCAGTGCACATACACTCTGGGTGGTTTGAGGGAATGACTGTGGCATGGAGAATCAGGGATAAGATTAAAAGTGCTCCCAGCCAACATACATGTCGGGTCCTTGAGTGCGATCCATGTCAGCTGTCACCAGGACAGGTTCATTGATATGGGAGCTTTGCCAGGTGGTGCAAAAGGTGCTATGACATCTATGCGTACCTATAAGTAATACCAGTACCTCTTGTGGCTTTGGGGGTATCTTGATCGACCAAACCATAACCCTGACAAAACCCCTCAACCGATCCCGAAACGGACTGAAACGGATCCGGTACCGGCACGGATCCCATCGGTGGTGTTCGGGGTTTGAGGGGTCAGGATCGATGCCCAAAGCGAACGAACCCCTCCTGGCACCTACATAACAGTGTCGAACACATCACCGTACCTGAGAAGGTACGACTGGATCCCAGGGGGTCACTAACTATGAAGAACTGATGTTAGGTCCAAACTCACGTCTGCTTATCTTGCTTAAGATTTCCATGTCCCCCTCATGACCCTTCCACTGAAGAGTGGGGGTGAGAACGGAGGGGTAACTGATCGGTTCGGCCGTCCGGTCAACCACCGGTCCACTCGACATGGGCGATCTCGGGACGTAGGGGACGAGGTCGTGAGTGATTTGTGCTTGAGTCACCATCGATCTGAGCCTGAGCGGCTTTCAAAACCACCTAATTACAGGTAATATATAGATTGTTGATCATTTTTGTATACTTCAGGTGTTTCATCATAGAGGTTTTTTGAAGTTGCTCATCTGGAAAGCCGAGCCATTCACCCACTCCAAGCATCTGAAAGGCTGCCGACCCATTGCCGACACCCGGCCCAGCCCCTCCCATGAAGAATATGGAAGTGGACAACCCCCTGTTGGTCGAGGACAATGGCCTTTTCAGGGGCGACGTACTACGTACACTTCCAGGTTTGTGGGAAGGGCAAATGATACCAAAAAGACACTGGCACCAGGTTCACCCCACAACAAAAAGCTCAAAACCTCCCCCAAAACGCGTGGCCGACCCACATGTTGTCCAGCCTGTCAGGTGGTTTTGTGGGCAAAATATGTCAAAATGAGGCCTAAGAAAAAATGCCCTGCATGGCACATCGAGTGGTGGCCACCTGCTCCGCACGTTCTCCGCACGCAGTCCTTGGCAAGGGCTTCCTCCTTGTCCACCTATCCGACCATGGTGCCACAATGAGGGACGCACCCACTGAACCGACCAGTTGTACTCAGGGGCAGTCCCACGTTTCCAGAAGATAATCAACAGGCTGGCTTTCTCAAGAAAGATCTCAAATGATCTCAACTGTCAAGTTCCCCGATCTAGTGAGATCTCGCCCCATTGTCTTGAACGGGGCGAGATCTCAAGATCGCGGAAGCCGCTTGGTGCGTGGTTTGCTGAAAGAATGCATCAAAATAGAAAGAAACAGGGACATACCTGGACCTTCCGCCCTTTTGACCGGACAAGTTGAAACCATCTGCCTGGGCCTCTCTGAGATGACTTGGAATTGATCAGGGAGCAGAGCTCATGAGCAAATCATGAAGCATCAATCAGGGAGACCACGGTGTATCTCACGCAAGTCATCTGGGAGAACTGCGTAGCTTGGAGCCCATCGCTGCCATCGCTTGGATGGCCATCGCTAGTAGTAGGCTTCTTTCAACGACATGGATCCCACACCCATTACGAAGAAGCTTTACATCGATCCCAGCGCCGAGCCCACTCTGGCTCGGCGACGGCTCGAGCGCGGCTTTTCGCACGACGTAGTTGGCTTCTTTTGGGGTCTGACGGCAAAAGACACAGGTCGCCGTTGTGCTTGGAAAAAGGCACGACCAGCGCGGAGTTCGTTTGAGGAGGCTGCCGCATGTTGCCGCCTTAAGCGGAGCAACTTGGCCCTCTTTCTGTGTTCAATCCTCTGTACTCAACGGCTACCCTGTTTCTGTGTGAACACAGTGTGATCATCCACCAGTCCGAGTCTTTTTTGCGTATGCCTAACGGTTTAAGTTTGGTTCATCATTGAGCATGGATGTGAGTAGGACCTAAATATCTATACTAAGTCGTATCTTCTAATATGCTGATTATATGCTGATTAAACTAAACCATATATAGAGGGTCTTTCTGAATGTTTAGAACTGATTGCATTTGGAAAGCTAGGGCCAAGGTTTGTGAAACACTGCTTCTTTGATGCCCACTTTGCTGGCATCCGTCATCCTGAGGAACGTGGCAGATCTTCATGCCTCTCTTGCCAGTCTATACACCAAGAGTCGTTGTGGAGCACTTGGGGGCCAAGAAGAAAAGAAGCCAACATGGGTGGCTCCACATGGCTTAAATGTGAGAGTTTCGAGCATGAAAGGGCTCAAATATGGCTGACAAATGATGGTGTTGAGTCATTTTAGCCGCATGTCTTGCAGAAGGAAAAGAAAAACATGGCTCAACTACAAAAACCTGTACCAAAGGGAGTTGTTGGACTCGGGTATATATATATACACTTAGGATTTATCTGCAGATTACCGCTTTGGGTTTCAGATTCCCGCTTTGGGTTGTTCTTAAAACTTGGTGTTGGGTTGCCTACTTTGAGCTCTACCAGTTCTTTTTGAGCGTCCCCTATAAACGAAGCTCTTTCTCACAACTCATCGGCAAGCCTAAAGGCAGAAGAGCCAACCACATACCCCGACCGTCTTGGTTTCCTCGGTGCCGTCGAAGGGTCTTTGCTCGCGGCACCGGGCATGGAATTTCGCAAAGAGTTGGGTTCGGTACGCAGGTGGCACAAGCAATTCAGGCTGAGGCTGTTCTGTACTAACTTCTTCCTTCCAGCTGCAACAAGAACGGATGCAAATTGCCATGCAGTGGTTCTCAGGAAGGGAAAGTGGGGGGAGGCATGCAATAGAGACCACAATAGTGTTCCTCCACGCTCAAAACTCTGAACACAAACATCTTGATTACAGTAGAATAGAAAGTAGACATCTATAGGATGTCATGACACTTTCACGAGACTACCATCTAAAGCACAAAGAACATGACAAGACATGACATGACACCCCTGGAAATCTCAACGACTGTTTACATTTGATTGATTGCTTGTCTTTTGTCTCTTGCTTTGTCGCTGGAAGGTGAAACACTGCAAACCAGGTGAGGCGAGTGCGGCAGCTGCCAATCCAACAGATACTATGGTATCCAAAAACATCCAAAAACTGCTCGTGATCTTTAGATGCTAATTCCTCCAGCGAGGGCATTGTTCGTGAGATCTATTGGGGCACCTTGCACAAAAAGAATGTGACTTCCTCAGTTTCCCTTGAGAATAAAGGACACCAATCCCCCAAAACGGATAAAGGTTATCGACCGCAAAGTTTTCTAGTTTGCTGGTGAGCATAGCCTGACACACTCGCCTCCCCATTCTTTTCTATCAGCTCTTGATCCAAACATCCCCATCAGACCAGGTAATGCACGGTGGGGTCGCGTTCAAATTCACTTCTCCTGCCACCCAGTCCGACGGCGTGGCGTCACCCGTGCGTCTGGAGTCTGTCGATTGATTTCGAAGCGTGCAAATGAGTCGACCTGCGGGGAAAAAACAAACAACAACAGCATCTTCCTTCCCCAGGTTGGGAGATGAAGCAGGGAGAACCAAATGAACAAACTTCTAGCCTCTTGACGCAACACAAACTGTTCGTGGGAGTTGATCCCTTGAAGCTTGGTGGTGAATTCCCACCTACACAAATGGTCATGGCAGGGGGTCATGGTTCTCGTGTTTAGCGACTGAAGAGTCGTCAACATCGAAAAAAAGTCGGACCAAGCTGACGGTCGTTCTGGACAGAATAACACCAGAAGAGAATCGTCCAGGAAGTCAAAAGGATGGTGTTGGGGAAAGATGACTGTAGACATTTGAAGACCCTCTTTCATGCGCCTGTTTACTGCATTTGCTTCAAAAATATCCTGAGTCCCGAAGCTCCTTCTTGAGACATGTTGATCTCCTATGAGATTCACTGTCCGAATCATAGCCACTTAGTACAATAGACTCCTCATGTTTTCCTGAAAGTTTTTTCCTTGGGATCCATCTCTGGAAGTCATGCCAACGAGGTGAACACCTTGGTCTCCACAGATGTTCATCGCCCAAATAGCTTTTACTCAGGATTTCCCACGATGACTTGGCAGGATTCAAAGGCATTCGGAATACAAACACATCCCAATCTCCCATCCCTGTGACTGGCCTGAAAAGCTGTAGGACTTTTCCTTCTCGGTGATGTTCATTACCTGATCAGGATCTTAGCACTTTGAACGACTGTGAAAGCACCTCAAATTACCTGATGTCATCAACAGACTCATCAGCAGTTATATAACAGCCTTGTGGCTTGTTCTTCATCAGCTCTGTGGAACATGAGATCTTGTAAAAGCCTTGTTCACCGACCACAGCTGTATCCTCCCCCGAGTTCATAACCTGAGAATCACTTGACAATGCCTAACAACTTGAGAACTTGCCTTTACAAGCTTCTCCATCATCGTCCGTGATTGCATCACACTCCATCAAATGAAAACAACAAAATGAGAACCCAAGTCTTCTTACGGTTTCAACTCACGAACGAAACATATTAGCCAGTGGGTTACCATCATCCCAAGTAAAGGTTGAAATAATGATATCCCAAACCACCTAGCTTGTATTGCCGAGACCTAATTAAACAATTGCCTTTGAACGCCTGTGGCTCAACGGCTTTTTCCTCGACTTCCTCCAAGGCGCCAAAACATTGATACCGTTGGAGCTGAGCGAGCTGTTGGCGGACTTGAAGGACGGGTCCCAAACAATCTCGCCATTCTTCACTTGGGCCTCGCAGGGGGAACCCATCCCAAACACCGGGTTTCGCACGGGAAAAACGGCGAACCGCAGACCGAGTTCGTCCGTGGTCTTCCGTGTCGGGTCTGGCTGGTGGCTGGCTGTGGTTTTGGGGATGCCCGCGGCGGATGAGCGCAGTAGTGGATTCACCTGGGTTTTATTCACGAGCGAAGCCAACGCGTGATGGCTAGGATGGCCTTCAGGCAAGGATGAGGACTAAAACCCATGTGCACAAACCGAAGGATACCAAAGGACTTTCAGAATTGACTTGGAGCTCACGGGGAACTTCTCAAAAAAACAAGTCGGACATGTTCCTCCAGACGAGTTCTATGCAAGCGCAAATGAAAGATACTTAGAAAGCAGTCACAGCAGTCCACGCCCTCGCACGCAAGTCCAGCTGTACGCAGTAAACAGGTCACAGCCAAATCTGTTCTAGGTTATTTGGTTATTTTGTTCCATGGCTGGGATTCGCCCATCTGTCACTTTCCCAAGTCTGTCACTTTCAGTAGCTCTTGGCAAACAAAAACAAAGAAAACATGACACGCAAAAAGAATCTATAGACTCAATCTATCTTCTGACACCCTGCTTTCTTCAATGAGAATACAGTGGTGGTGTCCACGAGCTTCGCTCGAACATCCTCAACCCCCCCGCGCACCATGGTGCTTTTGTCGCTCTTCCTGATCCAGCTGCTACCTGTCACCGAAATGGTTGGCAAGAAAACAGCCATGGTCCATCCACGGATGAATGCTTCTATTACTTTCTATTTAGAAACATCTGACGATGTTTCTATATTTCTCGTTGAGTTGGGGGCTGTGGCACAAGCTTGGACCCCACCATTCGGCTCTTCTGAAGTCTGCTGGACGCAACCAACACGTGATGCAAATCCCAATGGCGTGTCCAAATGGTCCCACCTTCCAACAACGCACGTGCGACCCTTTGTTTTGGTCAAGTTGGACCGCCGAACCATGGGACTGGTGGGATTGCCGGTATGCCCAAACAGTCCGTCCCAAACAGCGATGGGCCCATCCTCTACCCTGTGGCTGTGGGAGAGGATGGAATTCGTAGCTGCACGTTGTAAAGGAACGCCTGGAAAAACATCGGAACCAATCGATAGACAAAGTCACCCGCAAAAAGCTTTTCCGATAGACGGATGGATCCCCACACCAGGTGAGCAAGGAGTGTGTAGTAGGCGTGATTGTGTGGTGCTGGTAAGACCCGAAAACACCGGTGAGCACCGGTGAGCAGAGATCGTCCTGTGCCAGAGCCCTAAATGTAGACTCTTGCTTGATAACCCCCCCATTTGCATTGGAAAATCATCTTCATCTGGGGGGTTTATTAATCAAGAGTCTACATGACCAAGTGAAAAGTCTGACGATCCGCCCCGGAACACATGGGTGACGTGATGCCATAGGCAGCAGCCTCCCTCCCTCGGTGCCATCCGCACCAGACAGCTCGCAGCTAGGCGCGACTGGAGCGTCGTTTGGAACCAGGAGAGGGATCAAGTTCACCGCCCGGGGCTCAGCAGCATTGAGCATGTGTACCGATGAGCCGTCTTGATGTGTGCATAGCCGGCTGCTCTCGGAGTAGGCATCATCCACAATGACAGCTCCAGCTGGTCTGAAGGATGAAGTCGCGAGTTGAGTGCCAAGGCGCCTTGTGCAGGTGGGGCATGCTGAAACGGCCAAGGGCACCACAGGGCACCCACATGCAGAATCAGAAAGTAGCACCCACGACGCAAAGGTCCGTCACATCAAGGAGCACACCTGTGAAGGCTCCAAAGCCACGATCTGAAACACCTGATGTTCACCTTAATACCCTGTACATGGGAGCTATGGCAATCTACCATCCATGGCCATCGACGGACGTCAATGCGCGACCATCCATGCTTGGCTCCAAAAAGGGATTTCCTGTTGACTGCCCAGCTTATGGTCGTTCTGGCCTTCTCAAACTGGAACAGGAACATTGATACTTTGTCAGTTCCAGCTTTCGGGCCCTGCAAATCAATAGGCCTCAATAGGCTGGTATAGGTTGTGGCACTTGAACCGTCATGAACAGTGGGCGATGGCCGAAACATCACAAAGTGATGCGCCGGCAACCAATGGTGAGGTACACGCTGGTGGTATGCCTCGCGTTCCAGAGTTTCCAGCTAGTATGGAAGGAAACATGAGGCATGATTCCTCTTCAACAGGTCCTGGAGTCCTGTATCCTGTATAACTACACACCAGGACCCTGCAACCGGTCACCACCTCCGACTTTTAAGTCTGCAAAGGCCTCCAAAGGAGACCTATTGAAAGGTGCTGGAATATAATCACCATGCTCCCATCATCACAAGTAAGTACAAAAGTGAGAATGCAAGTGCTTCAACAGCCCTGCTGTTTGACTCACCATGACAGGCCTGGACTGTGGCTCCTAGCCGCCCCTACTAGCGGTGTAATGCGGTGTGTGCTCCCCAAACCTTCAAACGCAACAAGTGCCTTCGATGCTCTCCAACAACGACTTGCCCGTGCTGGAGTCAGCCTGAGATCGCGAACACATGGCGAAAGAGCCGCGAAGTGTTCAAGCATCATTCAAATCATTGTAGGGGTCACCCAATGCGGAATGAATACTGATATACAAGTTACGCTATGTTACGCTTCTGCACATCCGAGTCTTACTTCCACGTTTTCGGAGACACCAAGGACTTTGACCCTTAGGCCTTTTGGAGGGTGCACCACTGGGCAAAAACAACACCGAGATCGTCTCACCCGTCTCACCCAACTCTGTGAGGCCTCCGACGTTTCCGGAAAAATAGTAAACTAGTTTGAGTTGGAACAGTCCTTCTTCATGCTGGATTCATGTGATTTTGTTTACAAAGGATTTGCAGGTCTAAGCTGCGAAGAATCCTAGGGCCTAGGGCAAACCTTATTTTGAACATTACATTGAACAAAACACTTTTCTAGGCTCCCCAGCATCTCCCCAGAAAGATAGCATTGAACCTTTCACATCCTTTCATGATGTGTATCGGCCACAACAAGGAGCCTTTGCGGTGCCGAGGAGCCTTTGTGGAGGAGTGTAGAGCTTCCACCAAATCTTGGACCCGAACTTGCTTGGCCATCGGCACCTTCGACCGATCGACCGGACGATGACCGGTCGACCGTCGGGAGATCAGTTGCCAGTGCTCGGTTTTTCCTGTACCCCTTTTGGGCGCCCAAAAGCCATGAAAGAAGGCTGGCATCCAAGAAGAATTGGTTTCATTTCAGGAAATCACGTTTTTGTATGCTTGGGGTTTGCATCTGCATTTAATTCATATTTTTATATGTATAAATACAGTTGCTAATATCAGTAAAGTCTAGAATATAATAAGCAACACAGTCGTATCTGTGAAACCACGTCGTACCTGTGGAGGTCCATTCCCACGGCCCTTTCAGGTGTTTGGACATGTTTCAGGTGAGAGGACGCGGCCGTCAGCGTCCTGGCATCCTGCATGAACATTCACAGCTTGGGACATGTCCGTGGCCGTGGACGTTTCCTTTGTTTAGACATATTCCAATCCGGAAAATATGTTTTGTGCACACCTCGCATCTAGGACTCACCTCAATAAAACGTCCAATCTCAATAAGTGACCTTATATACAGGTGAGGCAAGGCATCATCTGCTGTTTTGCACGACTAAACATACATTAATGGGAGCCTCATTCCTGGCCTTTCCTTTTTGAACAATCTCCAAGCCAGGGCCTTCCAAGCCAGGCCAACTCCCACAACTCCCCTTTAACACCAACCGAAGCACCTTCCGTTCAAGGTCTCGAATGGAATACCCTACTTGATCTACGTCTGGATCTTTATTTTTGGACACCGCTTTCTTCAGGTGTAGGTTTATTTTAAAAGATCCCCTGCAGTCCGGAATTTCAACCAACTCCGACTTTTCCACCTCCAGTTTGACCCCTCCCATCAAGAGTCCCACCTCAGTGCCCTCGGCATTGTCGTTGCTACAGCAATTGTTGCCCATGAGCGCCGCAAGCACCGCGGCCAGTCGCGTGACCCAGCAAAACCCACAGACCGTGCGGAGACCTAATATGTTCATTGGGGAGAAACAGCTTTTTAGTGGTGCTTGCCCTGAGCTGCGCTGCTCCGTACCTTGACGCGTAGTGTCTCAATCCCCTAAATGGAGCCCCAGCGAGACAGTCAAGCGAGATGCACAATCTTACAGTTCGGCTCTAGTGGCAGAAAATGATCCATTACGCTCCCTTTAGAACTATCATGGCATTGGCAAATGGATGAACATGGCTCCTTAAGTGACCCTCTACAAACAGGTGGTTTTCCACTTCCATGACTGTTTCAGGGAGTGTAGATTGATCTTAAGTACATCTCCGTATCCATCCTGCCATGTGGACACCTAGCCAATGTTTCTACCTCGGCTTGGGTTCGTTTTCGCCGTGTTGTTCTCAAATAATATCAAATAATTATACAATATTATATACATACCCACTGTTTTCAGGAATCCACGTCTTTCAAACTGCCTTCCAGTCTTTTGTAAGTAGCGCACCTTCTAGCTCATAAACCATACATGATGCATGATCCCTTGCAGTACAGGGTCACGCCATGTTCACCCCTTTCCATCAAAAGTCTTAGATGTGGACTCGCACCTTTCACACACGCCCCATGTTCCATGTTCGGACGCATACCCGTGGGACATCTCCTTGCCTGCACAATCAATGCTGCTGTGTCCTGACAAAAGGGCTGCTAAAAAGGAAGAGATTGAATAGGAGCTAGCAGCTCAGCTCCAAGACGCGGGTTCCTTTTCAGCAAACATCAGATTTTGAATAGATCTCCCTAGCACCTCCAAAGAAAAACCACTAATATTATTGTGGCTTCCCTTTAGATCCCTTCAGGAGGTACAGAAGGAACATCACATAACATCACAATTGATTTGTCTCCAGAGTAGTTGGGTCCCAAACTTGAATTTGAGCCCGGCGCAAACTTACAGCGATTTTGGAGTTCATCATGAATAATGGCTACTACTTGCATTGTCTTGTCCTGGTCAAACAATGAATCCGGAAAATAGAAAAAGAAGAAAAACACCTGCGGAGGGTTCCCTTCACTTTTGGTAGGTTTGATGCCATAGAGCGCAAGAGCTGGTCAACACAGGGATCCCTCAAGCAACAAAACCCAGCAAGCCTCCCTCGGCCTCCCCAGACTAGTTCCTTCCTCTGGAATTGTTGGCCCCATGTAGCCTCCCCAGACTAGTGTAGCAAACCGAGATAGAAACTTATTGGCTTACTAACTTCAACATAGCAGTAGGTCTCTACTATTCTGCTGTGTAACCAGCAGCGAATCACGGGCCATTCGTGTTGAAATGAACCTCCTTCAAGGCATCTCAGCAGACCGGAGACCAAATCACCTGTGAAAGTGGAGGTCGGCTACCTCAGGATGTTGAAGGACATTGAAGGATCAAAGTTTGCCAAAGACGCTGAATACCTAGTCAGGTCCTTTTGGGGTTCCTCATCTTGCAATTTTGGACCTAACTTGTAGTTTCAGGCTCGGTCTCGGCCTTCTTCCCTTGCTCAATGACCGGCTGCATCTTTGTCAGGTCCACCTGGCATAGTGACAAGGGCTGAATATCCCCCCAGGGTAGCAGATTCATATAGTAATATAGGACACTATAGCACTAGCTGGAGTCTCAAGGTACCTGTTCATGCTTACAAGTACCATTCCTATCCTTAGCCTTTTGGGGTCATGGTCCATTGGAGACCCGAGACAAAACTGACAGCACCAAAAACCACTCCAACTCCACCCATCGGCGCTGCGAGTGCTGACAGACAACTCAGGAAGTAGCTAGCTGGTCTCTCGGAGACTGTAGGACCCCGTTGCCAAGAGGGTATTTCAACCCAATGCTTCAGAACAGTCAATTTGTTCAATCCTTTCTAGCCTCACAAAGATCGAATCTATATATTTGGGCACAAACTCTCTGGAACCTCGCTTGCTGCATCGGTTTGCCGTTGTTGCATGTTGTTGCAAGACACATGCGGCAAAAACATATCATGCCAAATCATGTCAAACCATTGAAACAAACCTTTCGGTGATGTTGCAGTGTGGATATATAAGCCAAAGACCTCAGCCCTCATTTCCAGCGACGCTGCCTTGAGCTTGTCGACCACAGTCTCGGTCTCTTTCAAGCGTTGAGCTCCAACCTGCACGGCTGGGCTCTTTTCACCGCAGGCATCAGACTACCAAGGGCCCTCCCAAAGAAGAACGGACATATCCACGACACAGCATATTCAAAATTCAAAACAATTCGAACAAAAAACATGCCTCAAACATGTGTCATTTCTGGAGTCTTATTCAGCTAGTTTCATTGAACATCTTATAAACATTAACTCCAGAAACAACGCCCACCGATCGGTTTATGCCGCTATGTGCGTCCGGATGTGGAGACTTCGAATATCTTCGAATGGCCACGGCGCTAAAATGCGCCCAACCTCAACGGCTGTGACGGTACTGGCGGTGAAGAATAGATGATCAAAGAACAACAGGGTCCGCAATCGTTTGTACTCAGGGAAAATCCATGTAAATCCTGACACCCGCGAAAATTTAAGTACATGAACAATTGGACATGAATTTGCAGTGAGACCTTGCCCGGCAAGAAGAACTTGCTAAGAGAAACAAATTCCCAACTTGGCGTTGGAAAACTTGCAGTTTGGCACATGTACACTCCTCAAGCTGATTTAGAACACATGCAATATCAGGAAACGTTCATTTGGTGAGGACCGTTGTCCTTTTCTGCCGAAGGACTTCAGAGTGAAGGGCAAACACCACGGACATCGAGCCACCTCACCCGTTGGATCTGCACCAATCTCTATCTCTAACTCTATGATATCGCGTTTGATGTGCAACATCTTCAGCTGACAACACACGGGGTCGTGAAAACGTAAACATTTATGTATCAAACAAAACACCCGCCGGTGGGCTGGTGGGAGTGAGCAAGGATGTGGCTACCCCCTCCTAAACTTAAACAGTCAGGGACCACCTGAATATGACTGACCCCGATCCCAACACGAACACTCGCCCCCAAACAAGTTCACATCCCCAACCCCATAGTCTGGCAGTGGATTTGTTGGGTAGAACCCATAATGGTGAATTTCAAACTCAGTTGAAATCAAATCCAAAGAGATACGGTATAGTAAGTTTCTGCCAGCCTAGGTGAACAAAGATTGGCATCTATATAACGGCCGACCTTTTGCTCATGTTGTCTCTTCTATGCCCATATATTGAAGTATTTAGTTTTTATTGATCATTCTGTTGACATGGAGCGTCACTTTGCGTAGATCCTGAAAGAGCACACAAATCATCACCATGGGAAGTTTGACAGGTCGAAAGGCAGGAAACAAAAAGGGATGCAACATGAATATCTGGAAGGATCCAAGATGATCCAGGTATCTGCTCGATATCCTCTTGCCGTCTTGCCCTTTGCTCGATCCGATGCCTTCTGACAGGAATGTTCTTGGAAAAAAACCGATCACCTCGTGTCTTGACGAAAAGTCGGCTTTTCACCCGGGGCCCATCTCCCATCTCAGCCGATGAAACTGGCCTTGTATCGATTCAGTTTCATATCCAGCTCGCCCTTCTTCATGCCCAGCCTAACAGTGGCTGGATGGTTGACCCAATCCCTGTTAAGAGCCAAAAAGCCCCATGCATGTATGGATTAAATAGTATATGGATTAAAATACTTACAATCTTGGGTCATATATGGGGTAGTGAAGCATGTGTATGTAACTACTCCAAATATACATGAGTGGTCTGCGATGAGTACAAGTCAAGGAACCAAGCCTGGCTTGGCAGGTGAGTATGTCAGATTTTATGTCAGCTGCCGTCGTCCTCCTCCTCGTCCACCTCGTCCTCCACCTCCTGCTCCTCCGCCTCCTCCTCGCAGCGCTCCCCGCCGGAGCTCAACCGCCAGCTCCGGATGGCAGTGTTCTTCGCCGGACCTCAACCGCCAGCTCCAGATGGCAGAGACAGCGTCTCAACCGCCAGCTCAGCATAGCAGTGTTCCCTGCCGAACCTCGACCGCCAGCTTCGGATGGCAGTGTTCCCCGCCGGACCTCAACCGCGAGGTCCGCTCGGCAGTGTTCCAAGCCGGACCTCTCAGCCGCAAGCTCCACTCGGCAGTGTTCCCCGCCGTCAGATCTCGACCGCGAGCTTCGGCTGGCAGTGTTCCCCCCCCAGCCTCAGCCGCGAGTCAGAAGATATGCCAGAGAGAGTGTCAGAAAGAATGTTTCAAAAGCTGTGCCAGAAAGACTGTCAGAACATATGCCAGAAAGAATGTCAGAAGATATGCCAGATAGAAAACCTGAAAAATGCCAGAAGAGATGTCAGAAAGAATGTCAGCACATATGCCAGAAATAATGTCAGAAGACATGCCAAAGAGAATGTCAGAAGATACACCAGAAAGAATGTCAGAAGATATGATATGCCAGAAAGAATGTCAGAAAAAGTGTCCAAAAAGACTGTCAGGAGATATGCCAGAAAGAATGCCGAATTTTTTTTCAATACATGCCAGACAAATTGTTGGATTGAAATGTCATGGTGGGGATCGCTTGAAGCAAGGTATATTTTCAAGGATGCATTTTCTCGGGAAGTTGGTGGAAACTTGTTGAAAACGCTCAATCTGACAGTTTTTGGAGAAGAACGATGATCAAGAAAAGCTAAAACAACTCTCTTCATATACGAGGGAGGGTAGAACCCCAGCTTGTCCACGTGAAATTGTTCAATTGCAGCTCAACATATTCACAGGAAGCGAGAACAGCTGGCAATCATTGTTCTTGAGCTGGCTGGGCTTAAATCCAGGCTTTTTGAGACCTTTTCCGACTGTGTGAGACGGGGCATTAGCTGTAGCAGCTCTTTGTCCCAAAACGAACGCCACAGGCATTAGCTCTAGCACTAGACTCTGGTCTCCAAACTGTGGAGGTCTTTGGAGACCTACACTTACAGCATCTTGCAGCTGGTGACCTCAAGAGTTATTTGGTGGCAGTGGTGGATTAAGTGTATATATATATAATCATCCGTTTCATGTACATCCATGTACCATGTCTTTTGCAAAAGTGGCAAGCCGGCCCAAAAAGAAACTATGACAAACAGGGACAATTTCACTCAACCCTGAACTTGGATATACAAAGCCTAAGCTGATCCGTTGACACCTTGAACAAAATATCGTCTTGGCCGGAAACACGTTAGAGCTCGTCCACTTGCACTGGAACCTCCATTGTCCAACAAACGGAATCTTGCTGAAGCCCGCCGGCGTTTTGAAGTTGAGCTTAGTGAAGTCTGGGAAATCCTATAGCTCCTGCATTCCAAATTTGAACTTGTAGGTGTCTGCTTTATTAATGGGGCTGCTCAACCTCACACAAAAAAAACACTCCAATCAACAACCAACGACCAAATCCTCAAAACTCTGGGGCTCTGGGCAAATCTGTGAAGAGTTTGATGAGCTCCAAGTAGCTGGTGGGCGTCATGTACCTGCTAGCCCCCAAAAAAGCCGAACAAACACTCAGGAAATGTATGCGAAAAAGAAACTGGTCACTTGGAGAAGAAATCGGAGAACATATCATTTGGAAAACCACCAGGTCCGCAGGTTAGCCCAGTGCGGGTTCACTCGGTCCTCCCCTTACCTGGTCGACGTCGGTCACAACATTGGATCCCGAAATCCCAGCTTTCACCGAGAGGCGGTGTGAACTAAGTGCTGTGAGGGTGACACAAACACCTGGCTCTGCAAGTGGGTTAGTTTGTTGGTCATATTGAGGTAGTATTGGACACGATTGAAAGTTTGCTACATATCTCCGGCATGTGTTGTTCTGCCTGCGATCGGCCTTGCAAGGTATTGATCAATTCAGAAATACTTTTGTCGGCGTCTCATGACTAAAGCACATGCGGAAGCTTTGTCGGATGCTCATTATGTTTGTTTTTGACTTCCTGTAGGCCCCAAGTTGTCAAAGCAAAAGGGACAAATGCTAGGCTAAGTTCTCTTCGTGTGCAGTTCGTGCATCGAAGAGTGTCCTCCCTGGTTTTGTCTGCCAAGGTCTTCTTTGAAGTGGAGCCAGTGACAAAGAGAAACCGACAACCCCTCCTCCTCCTCCTCCGACCAAACCCCTCCTCCAGTGTCAATGAAAAACACCGAAATCCGAGGACGGCTGAGGAAGGCCGCGAGCCAACGGAGTGTACCGAGGTGGTAGGTGAGTCCAACGGCGTCGGCGAGTTGGGATGAAACGGACACTGAAAGAAGAACAACAAATGACACAAATACTACTCCTTGGCCCTCCTTGGCTTGTCAGAACTGAGGCTTTACAAAGAGACTTGTGAGACTATGTCAAGGATTCACCGCTGCTGCCATTGTTGTTGTTGTTGTTGTTGTTGTTGTTGTTGTATAGCAGTGGGTGTTCTACCAGCTAACCTATCAGCAAACATGATTTGTTGTTCGATTATTTTAACATATACAAGTGTGTTGATTGGAAAAAAAAATATATATATGTCGTGTGATCTGTTGAGTTTAAACTATGGTTCTGAAAAAAAGCACGGTTAAACAATACATAAAATAGAACAATGATTTTGTTATATACATATATTTTACACTTTTTATACAGCAATACCGCGATATCCTTGCTCACAACAATTTTACCATTTTCCAAAACTAGAGGTAGTTGACAAAATAGAAACATGTTAAACGTAGTAAATAAAAAAAAGACCTCATCTATAGTTCCGCTGTGTTCCACTATAAGAACTGGAGTTAAAATTACACAACACAAAACTATTTTGAATGTTGAGTGTTTCTTGGATGGTCCGGGAATGCATTATTTCGATGCTTACTAGTTCCTTCAAATGCTGAGCCATGCCGTTCCTTCATGTGCTACATGATCAAAACATAATTTCATGTCACTCCTCACCCAGAATAAAGCCAAGATCTGCTTGGTCCAAGCTGGCGCTCCTTCCCCTGTGATGACGCACCGGGCTTTCGCATCCTCAACCTGCGAAATCGCATCATTTGCCTCGAAGAAGCCGTAATTGGTGGCTGCCAAGTTAAAGAACATGGTTTTGGCCCACATCGCCCTGATCCGCCGGGTGATGACACATGACACCATGAAACACCGAAACACCTTGTGGCGTGTCTTGGTAGGCGAAATGCGTCCAAGAGCAAAAACTTACGGGAGGTTTTCAAACTGCGGCCGTCAAGGCTATTTGGGATAACACACAAACAATTGAATGTGAACATTGTGGTCAGCCAGACACGCATTTGCATCGTCTTTTACACTGTGCACAGTTCGAACATGTACGGAATGACCATACTCAAGCGATTGATATTATTACGGCTCACACTCATCTTGCTTGGTTGCCGCTTCCCACTGAACACCCACATCAGGTAATCTATAATCGTCTCCAGCTCGGTCGGGTGGGGCCATTCCTTAACCCGCAATATGAGCCAACAGATCCACGAATCACAATATTCACCGATGGCACATGTGACCGCCCCAAGGAACAGAACTGCTGTAAAGCCGCCTGGGCGGCAATTCGTCAAATATGTCTTAACTCCGTTGATCCGTCTTTAAATGATTTTGAAGTTCTGCAAGGCTCTCATGTGAAAGGTATGCAAACCATTAATCGTGGCGAACTTGAGGCAGTCGTGTGGGCTACTGAATTCTATTCACAACAAATTCCGCGTCCTTTGGTTGATATCTATACGGACTCCAGCTTTGTAGTACATATTATGGTTCAGATGGTGAGTCAATTTCAACCTGCCCTGCAAAGATATAATCTTGCACATGTTGATTTAGTTCAGCGCCTTCGTCTTGCTTGGGATACGCACAGTTTCCAAATTCATAAAGTTAAATCCCACCGTAGCTATTCCGAGGCACTTGATGCACAAGATTTGTACACCATCATGGGGAACACGTTGGCAGATGAAACCGCCAAGGTCATTAATCGGCAGGATATTCCTACTTTTAAAGAGGCGGCTGATAATATTTCCCTTCATAGTATGCGTCAAATGGAGGCTTTGTTATGTGTCTATCGCTACCTCTGTACGCTTAACCAGCTACAATCCACTCTACGTATAGAGAAAGAAAAGAGTGAGAATGAAGCACTCCAAGCACAAGGTCATGATGAAATCTCCTACCTTAAAGCCACTTTCAGTGAGTGGAAGGTTGAAGGGCCTTTATGGACGTTTTCAGAGGATTTACCAGAAGTAGTCGCTCAGGCTTGCCCTGCTGGATCTCAAATTGCAAAATGTGTGTGGCATTTTTTCCGAGCTTTACAATGGCGCCATCCAGACATCCCTCTCCCTCCCTCCGACCATGGAATTACATGGTATGAACTCGTTGTATATTTCACTCTCTATGCTGGCCTGACTATGCCTATTTGGCTTAAAGTTTATGAAAACCAGCCAGCCAAGCCTTTTGATTTTGCCTCTTCAGAGGTTGCGCTGCAAAAATCAGAAGTACGTAGTTTGTGGCATCAAGCTACAAATTTTCGCAACGTTGTTCAATACCTTGAAAGCACGGCACGAACAAAGCTGTACCCTCGCTTTAAGAAGTCCGGGGCGTCTTCACTGGTCCGTCTGGGATTTCATCGTAGTTTAGTGGGGGGCGTTGCATCCCGCCCGCAATTACCGCAAAGTGCTCTTGCGATACAGCTTTTAGATCAGTACGCGACTCAACCTGGCCAACCATATCCTCTTAATGTTCGCCTCCCCTTCACTCCAGACTTGACGTGTGCCATATATGGACGAGACTTGCCGCCAGATATTCCATTTGCTCACCGACATAACCTTTACCAACGGGTAAAGAAGTGCATTCGTATGCATAAACCGTTAGATACGATTTGCCTTGATTCGTGAATTAGGAATTCTTTGTCATCCTCTTACCGGGGGTGTAATTCGCTTTATTGGGGCCCCAGGGGATAGACCGGGGACTGTGGCGGACATGTTTGCATGTGGTGTTACAGATTCTATGTTTAGCTACTCCTCTGGTACCCCCTGAAAGGGAAGGACCTTGAGGTGCGTGTGGATTGATGCGCAAGTTGTGTATGGTAGGCGAAACGCGTATCAAGTGCATTGGCTAGACATCTCAAATAGCTCAACTAGCAAAGAGGTCAATCTGTCATGCAGCCACGCATCAGATCTCCACGCAGTGATTGGCAAATTTTGTAAATGGTTTGCGCAAGGCTTGTGGTCCAATCAGTCAGAGTGTCCATATTCTTCCCGACCATCTTCGACATCTTCAGGATCAGCACTGCGACGCTGTTGCTGAGATACACTGCAGAGTCACGGCAAGCTTGCGAAAAGCTTGCAGCCATAGCACACAGCACCATATCATCTGTTTGGTGGACTGTCGAGCTCATCCGTCTGAATCCATCTTCCAATTCTGTGACGTTACATAGTTAATTACACAATGTTACAAATTTACTCAAAACAACACTGCCTGAGGTGGAACCTTTTGAGAACTTCTATATATATATATAGAGAGAGATACATTTAACATATTGAAGACTCTATCACCGTCTGCCGTTTGGCTCTTCCTGGTTTCTTAATATTGTCTCTTTCTCCACAAGTCTTTCTTAGTCTGTTTGTCAAGTAGATATATGTTTCTTGTGGTTCTCTTGTTTTTACTATTTCAAAGTATTAATGCGTATGTGAATACTGTGAATCCCACAAAGATAGCGAGCAAGAAAGGAGTGTCCCCCCACGAACCAAAATCCAAAACGGACAAGCAATGAACAGGCCATGAAAGGAAATGCAAAGGACATGAGGAAAGGGCCAGGGACAAGGAACATTGTTGAGGACAAGGAAAACTACAGAACATGGCAAACTGTTTGAAAGGGTATTTGATGTCTCTTTCTTGGGTCATGTGCACGGCTGCACAAGATGGATGACCTGCTACTGATTTGGCCATTAACAAACCAAAAGCATCCAACAGCTTAAACACAAAGCAGGCTAAGGAATTCATACCAGCATGCTCAAAATGTATATATCTTAAACATTCTGGCATCTGTCTTACCCTGAATGGGAGCCCGTGAAGAGATAAAGGGTGCCGATCTGGCTGCGCAGCCAGGAAGCGCCCAGGAAAGGCCCCGAATCCCGGGAAGCTCGTGGAAGCGCCGCTTATGCCGTATGCCGAAATCAGGACTTCCTGAGGTTTTTTCAATACAACCAACATCAATATGTTTTTGGGGGTTTAAGATGTCACCCCTGGGTCAATATGCTTTTTGGATCTCGATTCAGGCATTTCTTTGGCCCATAGACGGCCCGATCAGTTTTCCCCTAAAAAGGAACATGCATCATTAAACTGGTGGAGCATCCTGCAGTCTCACCAAACTCACTTCAACTGCTTCTTTTCTTGACAAATCAAATACATCCCTGAAGACGGGAGCAACGTCACCGAAGCTTCGGCGGGTCCTGCCCCCGATGCGAGCTTCAAAGTCCCGTCCGGCGCACGTCTTCCGCCGCAGCTCTTCGAAGAACCGATCCGCTGCCTGCGATGAATCTCAGAGAGGACTTGTTACTAGTTGATGTGGAGAAATGAAGGCGGCATGGGCACATGGGAGGCCTAGGGACGTGGAGTGTTATGGATACTATCCGATGCAGGCCTCAAAGCCGATGTGCTATAGAGTTGCTAGAGTTCACTTTATGGAAGTGGAAAGCAGGCTCATAGGCCCCTCTGGAAGACAATTCTTCTCTACAAACAGGTGGTTTTCCACTTCTCCGAGAAAAATGACAGTTCCGTCTGGAGTTGAGAGCTGCTATAGGTGATGAATTCAATGTCCCACACCACTGACGAATTCCATGTTGCTCAAACGCGTTGCCCAGAATGAATCTAAACTCGCCTCTGCTCCATTCCTTGGTGCATTTGTCTGAATGCCGATCCAAAAAGGGACGGTCGCGGCCGGCCGTTGCGCATGGCCGTTGCGCGGCCCGGTCCGACCGTTCCGCGGCGCGCGGCCCTTTGGGTGCCGTCGAAACCGTCGCCTCGGAGGCCGAGGCGTGGATCACCTGAAGCCGAGGGACGGGGAGTGGATGGTGTCGAAGTGGACCTGTGGAAGTCGAAGCTTGTCGAATTTGGTGTCGTGTTTCATGGTTTCGAAGACATGAATTCAGACATGAATTCATCTGTTGCGATGTCCTGCCTGGTGATGTCGTTGTGATGGTGGTGCTGTTTGTTGTTGGATCTGTGTGTGTTTTATGGTGTGTGTGTGTGGTATTGTGTGGTTCTTGTTCTGGTTGTTCGAAGGATCTGTCCAACAGTGGACCGTGGATCGGAACGTGATGGTGGACCCAACACACATGTTCACATCCAGTTACAGTAGCGAGTGTGTCAAAGTGATGGATGGGAAAAAACGAACTGGAGTTGTTTTTTTCTTTTTCGGAGTATGTTTGTAATGCCAAGTGGTCTTTTCAGGACATGGGCTAAAAGGAACCACAAAAAAAGGATTTGGTCAGAACTAGGAGACCTGTTCGGACTCCCATGTAAAAATACGTCTTTGATCATCTTTGGGTTTGTGCCATCTACTCTGAAACCACTGCTCAAAAAGGACTGTGTCTTCAACATATATTTCTATAACATGATTTGATTCACTCCATGGGAGTACCAGGGGTGTTTCAAAGTGGGTGAAGAAGTCGGATCTGGTCTTTTATGTTCTTCTGACGTTCGGTGTCTGGATCCCTTGGAAAACAGGAAGTTAGGGAGTATGCTAGCGGCCACTCAGGAAAACCACCAAATTGAGGGCACCCAGGCGGTTCACGAGTTTACAAGGTCAGTATATAGTGAGTCAAATGTATTCAAATGTTGACAAACAAGTTCGCAATGTTGACAGACTTTTTCCAAAAGCTGAGTGCTCTTGTTTGTCAGAGTGCTCTTGTTTGTCATACAGTAATATTTTTGCAGGTTCAAAGATGCAGTGAGAGAGGAAGCGACAACCCCCAAAACACTTGGACGAACTGGGTCGAACAACTTTATCTCCGAGAGGCACAGGAGATCTGCGAGAGCGCGGGGATGCTGGCGGTCAGCTCCAATTCTTTGGGAGCTTCTTTATAGTACCTCAGCCAAGCTCATCAAACCTGGGAGTGGGACAACCCCAGTTGAGACATGGCTTGCAAGGGGTGCAACTTACCCAAGAACAGCATATTGGTCATCGGTAACAATTGGAGCCTGCAGGATTAACAGGCGCATCTTCTTTTCCACACCCGCTGCCCAGCAACCAGCATAGTAAATAGAGCAACAACCTCTCTTCGCAGGAGGAGTTCGAAGGGGCACGCATAGCTAGCGGATCTTGCCGCGAATGGGTATTGATCGGATCTGGTCAGCCGAGCGGATCTGGTCAGCCAAGGCCGCTCGGGGTTGGGAGTGAGACTTGCCTGAGAAATCACCGTGAAGAGTTGACCACTCTCTGTTGATTAAACAGGAATTTGTGAGGTATACTGCCACAAAGCCTGCAGCATTATCTTTCAATATATCTGTCATACAAACAATCTTGTTCAACAACAATCATCACTTGGTGTACCTTGAGGTGAAGCGGTGGTGTACCTTGACTCTACACAGACTCTCCATCCGTTCCGTGAAGCCGCTTAGAAGGGAACATCCGCACCGCCCAGTCTCCCTATAGTGGATCAGTTAAATGGGCTGGAGATGGCTGGAGCACTAAACTGATACATGGAGGAGTCTGTGCAAGTATACCCGTGTGTACTAGTTGAGATCCCTCTTAGACTCCATTTCTTCAAAGTTATGATTCCACTTCGACAAATACCACTGCCTAGCGAATCCCATTCAGAAAAAAAAACAAACACGAGTGTGCAAACGCCCCTGAAAGGTGTTTACTCCTAGGCCTGTTTTGGTGTTGCGTCATTGAAGCAACTGGCAATATACATTAGTCAACAATAAGTCTATATGCTGCATGCTTGTTCACTGTGATCATCAAGCACTGTCGGGTCAGTTGCGGATCAAATAAATCACATTAACTCATTAAAACTAGATTTAAAAAAGGGGAACCCAAAGTCTCCCAGTGTAGGATTCAAGGGGGATGGTTTGCAATCTTGAACTTCAAGAGGCAAGAACAACTTCTGTCGTATGCCACAATATGCCCATGGAAGCAAACTCGTGTTGATTCACCAGTCAATCAGATTGCTTCGTCAGCCTGTCCCAGTTCGCTAGCCTGAAACAGGTCACCAGGGGGATGTGGAGAAGACGACACCCGGCCGAACTCGACCGGACCAGTGGATTTGGAAGACCGACCTGCACGACTCATGGACCCCCGAGATCAAGGCCGTTCGGCCACCGACACCAAGGCATCCTGGCGTGGACGGCCGGGACGTCCCGTGGTAGGGAGTGGTACGGTACGGGCATAGTGACGTGGCATCAGCTGTCAAGCGGCTACAAGCTGTCAGGACATGCGTTGAATACCCAACAATCATCATTGGCAATAGATGGTTTAGGGTTTAGGCATCAGGCATTGTAGTTGATATGTCAGCAACACCAACATCCATGCAGCCCAAGGTGAAACCATCCCAAATCCATGCAACCACGTCCAAATGAACCTCAAAACTGACATGAACTGATTCAAAGGAGTCGGCCACCTTCTGAATCACCAAACCAGGATTTAGTCACTATAGCTGTTCTTCTCAAACAAACACGTTAGCTTTGGCCATCGAGGACAAGACACAACCTTTGGCACTCAAAACACCAGTTTGTCATTGCAGCCAGGTCAAGGATCTCAAAGCGGCCGGATGTCTTCCATGAACCGGAAAGAGACATGCACATTGTACATATAAGTATATGTGTGACGTGAAATAAGTTGAATTGAGTTTGTCTCTTTTTGCTAGGACCCTCAAACAGGACTCCTCTTTAGAGGGCGTTGGATCCTGGAGATAACACAGTTGAACAGTTGGAGAGTACCAGTGCATCCGTGAATCCAAAAGGTCACAAACAGGTGCGACTGCACTATCTGTCACTATCTGGTGACTCACTACGAGAAGGCTAGCTAACCTGCCAGTGATCTTGTCTCTTATGAAGGACTGTTCTTGTCTAAGGTACTTGCCAAGCCCTACGCAGTCCAGTACATCCCCGTTCGTGTCACCGTCAAAAAGACCGGTTATGACCCGTTATGACCCTGGTCACTCCCACGAACTCCGATCCTGACGCTCTGCTCGGTCGAGACCGCCGTGACCCACCTGTGGCCATGGGTCATACCAGTCCACTGTGGCACAGTTGATGAGCGAAGGGAACCTCAGAGCGAGGCCCACGCTGGCCGAGGTGTCCAGTGGGGAGTCAACAAACATTGTGTATGCATAATACAAAGTCGAACATATATATATATATTCATATATATATATATATATACACATAATATGTAGTATATCACAATTTAGTCAACAAAACTACATTATGATTATGATATATTATATATATGTACACTAAAATAAATCACATATTCAAGTTAGTATTGACTATACGTACAAAGAGTTTCTTAATTAAGCTGCTCCTGTAGAAAGAACATGCACGTGAATCGCCAACATCTATTCAGTTAATATGGTGTTTCTTTTGTAAAAAATATTCGAAATGAGGCCACGGCAAGCATTGGAGAGCCCGAGTGCGCGCGCGTGAATCGATAGTAGTGCGAGCTGGGCATTGTCTGAAAGCATCATAAAGCAACAATGTTACCCAGCACAAGGATAGAATTCCTGAGCAGTGTTCTGCAAAAGGAAGATCTGAGATTCTTGGACACGTGTTCCAAAGGTATCCAAATGTTCGGAACAGTTTTCCCCAATGTTCGATGTCTTCTAGTGCAACATGTTTTCAACATTCCTAACGAGCTCGCGACGTCTCGGTGTCACCGCGATCCCGAGCCGACATCTCGGTGAGAATCCCCACTGTCGGCATCGAGCGCGAAAGCCTTCTCCCACAGGTGAAAACCTCAGAAATCGAGAAATCACCGGATAGACTTGCCAGGTGAGAGGACTTGCCATTGGTTCTTGGTGGGTATTTGCTGTCATCTTCTGTGTCGTTTTGGAGCTTTGGACAGTCAAAAATGGTCAAAGCTGCAGGCGATTCAGAACGATGGCCGAAGCCAATGAGCAGTGAGCACATGGAACAGTCGGATGGCCAGTGCTGAACCAGCAATGAACATGCCAAGGACCTTGACTTTCTTTGTTGCTTCTTGCCTTACTTGTCCACCAATAGGAAACTGTGATTGAATTCTGGTCTCAACATTTGGGCATACTTGGGCATGCCAAGTTCCCCCTGCAATTAAGATGTTTCCCTAGTGTTCCACAAGTAACAGCATCGTCTTTTCCCAAGGGTTCCACTGCCTCCGAAGTTCGGTCGTTGGGTGACGCTTTTGTCTGTTCCTTCGCAATTTCGATGGATCCGTGGATCCTTAAGGATTGTTTGTTCTGCGATCCCACAGATGGCGGTGGACATCGCCGATGGGCCGCCGATCCCAGTGACTCAAATGTTATATGTCAGGAGCACATGGAATCTCACTGTTTGAAAAGAACTTGAATGTACCTTGCTACTATAAAGTAGCTTCTTGTTTCTAGTAGTATGGCCAGAAACTACTGGTAGCGTCCTTGCTCCTAGTAGTAATTCCCTTTGTTACTAGTAGCTTCTTGTTAGATGTGACATGATACCGATGATCCGTACTGCACAGCTTGGTCACATCCACACCGCAAAAGAGAACAAAAAACCTCAAGAAGGGAGCAGAACCTGAGCAGAACCGGTCCGGTGAACCCACCTTTGGCATCGTACAGCGATATACAGCGATCACGTTGTCGCACCACTCATCTTCTCGAGATCCCACACGCCAGGATAATGTGGAAACCCTCCCGGACCACCTGGACGAAGTGCTGCCTCAGCTCACAGACTCCGAGTGCAGCCGAAATCGACGGGGACCGGATCGTTGGGGTGACAGTCGTCGCCGCGGTTGAACGGAGGGGCCGGCCAGATATATTACGGAATGGGAGCATATGTTCGGAGTGCAGTGGAGGATGAACCATCACGTGGTGTTGTGGTCTTTTGGACCAAAACAAGTATGAAACATCATATGAAGTCAGCAAACAGCTGAGAGCATTGCTGCCAGCAATCAAACAACCTGCACAAAGGAGCAAATGGTTCTATGTACAAACGGCCATGGCTCAACAGGATGCCATCCAAACCCGGTGGGTCTGTGAGTCCTGTTTTCAGCCTCATAACCATGCCTCCTTTGCGCTCGCACACAAAAGTTTCCAGTTTGCTGGCCTTGAGAATAGGTTGGGCATCCATTAAGGGCTAGATGTTGGCTAAATTTTGACGCGTTTGTGCAAAACATTGAAAGTAAGCCTATCTGGTTGACAAGGCATAGTTCTGTGAGTTCTGAGTCTGCCTTGCTACAATACGTATGTCATCCCAATCGACAACCTGCATACCATGAAATCAGGCAAAGTCAGCGGGTTCCGACAAACGTTCCGCAGACCAATGGTACGTTCCATCAAGATATGCTTGGTCATTAAACTTTAGACTAAACTTGGCAGGACAATACACATTAACACCTTAATGATTCAGTGTGCTCTGCAGTCTCTTGAAGATACTTTTGGTGTTCAGGTTCAACCTCTGTCACTTGGATTTGTCGCAAAATTATTTCAGCGAACTTCCCTTGTGGGTATAAAGCAAACAAGCCAACCTTCAAACATATCAGCCCGAGCAAAAAAAATCCAGTTGTAATGGACTGCAGCATATACAGTATATTTAGCATAGATTAGTATATATAGTATATATTTATTTTGTTAGATTTAGTTATAAGGTTGGTAAGCTGGTGGATTGAAGAAACTGATTCAAAGTTGTGGGATTCTATTGTCGAACTGGGCAAGCATTGGTCGGCGCTCCACAAAACATTGGTTTTCTATCAGCCGCCCAGCTTTGTGTTGAATACTGAATACCTATAGTTCCATCCAGCATCATCCAAAAAGCACCTAAAAACCTGTGGCTTGCACAGTCCTGCTTTTCTCAGTCAAGGCTAAAACACCGCTCAACTTGAATGAACCCCTTCTTACAAAAATAATGTTTGGGGAGAATCGTTCCCAAATACGAATCGACACTGGTGTCCAACCACATCCAGTAGATCATTGCCTGCCCCTGAAACAACACCACTTCGCTGGGAGGCCCGTGCCAAATGATGTCACGTGCGTCCACCTTTCCTGCTGCTTTCGCCAAGGGCCTCGTCAAGTTGATGACCTGGCGCACGCGAAAGCAAGCTGGGCCTAGTGGTGAAAAACAGTCTAGCGGCTAGCATGTCTAGCATGGAACTCAGTTGGAATTTAGAGGGATTGTTGTGTTGGCAATACCAAGAGAGGTTAAGTGACCTTATAGGACCCAACTGGGGTACCTGATAGTCTATAGGGTCATTCAACCTCTGTTGGTATTTGTACTTTGGCGACGATTGGTGAGCGACAAACCACTTCACCCACCAAACAATCAGTCAGCTCCTTAAGGCTCCCTGCCGTCCCTCAGTTGCCGTCCCCGTCCCCTGGAACAGAGTGGCGCATCGCTTAGCACCGCGGAATACCGCGGATATATCCGCGAACCAAACCGGCGCACCGCAGTTCGCCCAGCGCAGTTCCCCCTGCTGAAGTTGCTTGATACAATAGGCCGGGCTGCCTGTCTCATAGAAGTACAAACCAGTTGTTGCCAAATCAGGCATAAGGCAGGCTGTCTCAGGCTTCGTGATATCAGGCAGTCTACACCTGCTGCGACTCACCGCGTCACACTCGTCTGCGACACCTCTCGACCTCTGAGACTCTGAGCTCAGCTCTGAGACTCACTGCCCAATCCAAGACACCCGGACCGCCCGGACGAGTTCGCTTCAACGGACTTGAACGGCAGAAATCCGTGTTCAGCCGGAGAATGCGCTGCGTGCTGCGTGCTGCGATTGATTGTAGCAATTCTGTCTCCTGCACTACCCAGCACCTCCTTTCAAGTCATAGCAAATTTCTGGCAAGCTACAGAGGCACCAACATTTGTATAGGCCAGAGTATGCGGGACTAGATACCCGACTCGATTTTTACGAATGGTTTTACGAAACCTCACACTACTGTCCAGCTTGCTGACAGGTTGTAACAACACATTTACCTCTTTCCATCAAGATGCTTTTCACCATCAAATATTGCTTGTTCCAAGTCAAGTTCTTTTTCCAACATCTGGGAAATCCAAGTTCCTTCAACAGTGGCTCCAACATACACACTTGATTACTCCTATAGAACTGGAGTACCTTTACCGCATGCTACAGCTCAAAATTCCTGCCTGCTCAATCTCATCTGCTGCAAAGAGGTTCGGCACCTGGACATGCCGGAAGCTTCGGCACGGGTTCAAGAAACCAAGAAACAGACATGCCGGGTGTGACTTCGATGCCAGGTGTGACTTCTCCAAACTGGTCCGTATGGAATGAATCCATGTTCAACAGTGGGTGGAAGAACCCCGGACTGGAAGGCAGCGAGGTCCTGGAAGTCAAGACGACAGGCATCCGACTCTGCACCATGGTGCCCTGATGCACTGATGCACCCTGTGCCCCTGCTGAACATGGTCGCATCGTGTCTTGAAATCTAACAAAAGCAACAGGAGATACAAGGAGCAGTAATCCTCCAATGTGATGAGGTTTCGTAAGAGATTAATATGAGATCAATGTAAGGCCCTCAGGGTGGGCAGAAAATGAGGCTCAGTCTGAGGAAGCCGGTCTGGCGGTTTAGTACCAAAAGGATCCAAAAGAAGTCTTCCCTATGCTACTTCACGCCACTTCGCCAGGAAAAGGTCAGCATGTGATCCAAAACGACCCTGACAACGACCCACTGCCACGATGCAAAGATCAAACGAACTGAGGCTCAGGCTACCCCGAAGACAAAGATAAACCCTTCAGAACCACGGGGTGCGACCCGAAGGAAAACTGTCGGACGACCCATTCGTGCCATTCGACCCGGGTGTATGTTGGTTTTCGGGAGTGTAATGTTGATCGAACATATGTGTTCTGTTCTGGAGATTCTTGGATTTGTGAATGGTTCTGGCCTCTCCGGTGTTCAAGATGTTGTTGATGTCCTCCAAGAAGGACTCCTGAGAAAGCGTGCGATCTCAAATCTGGGAATCTGGGGAGTGCCCAAAGTTCTTGGTAGATGCAAAAAAATATAGCAGGGGCACACCAAACTACAAAAAAAACACCGGCGGCCGGGTTTAGGGGTAGTGAACAGCTCTGTGGTCATGATACCTGATGGTTTCCCAAGCCCCTTGGTTGGAGTCCTCGTCTTGACATGACTGCGATCAATCCCCAAAAACGCCACAAGAACTCCGCCCAGTCTCTGCGAACTTGCATCGTTAACGTAGACCTCAGAACACTGGTCCACCTCTACATGTGGCAAGGGACATCCCCCTGCTCTCGGAGTCTGGTTCGATCAAGACACCTTTGAAGGGATTCTGAAGCAGGGGAAGCGGATGCTAGTTCAGTGCACCGTCTCGGTTCTGCCACATCTAGCCTTGATGCTCATACCATGCAACATCCAACATGCCGTCAATTTCATGGGATGCTTTGACAGCTTGACCACCAGAAACACCGAAACACCTACTACTCAGCCTCCAAAAACCATGTTCTGAGTCTGGTCATGGCTTGAACAAAGGAACCATTGTCCAAAGCACTGTCCCTCCTTCACAATCTGGGTATCGGAGAACAAGAAGCCCATCCCCTGCGGCTGCCGTCGCCAGCCGCGTCACGGTCGCTCACGCGAGGATCGGCCAGGAGTGGCGTGGATCCCAGGAGTACCAATACCAAAAGAGGAGAAAGGCTACAAGGAATCAGGGTTTCCAAGTCTAGGTTGTTGATGGTTTCTGGTTGTTGCTGGTTGCCAGCTCTGGTCGTGGCCGTTGCCGTGTTCGGCCGCGACCGAACCTACGTCGGGCGGCCGAAGTCAGGTGCCACGACCGTCAGGTATGTCGAATGTACTGCCGTTGTCATGCCGAGTGGACAATCCTGTCATGCAGAGTGGGAAGGTTCCAGATGGTTCCACCAAACATCCACCAGAAGATCCCCTATTTGACGCAGTGGGACACGTAGATATAGGGTTTCCGAAGGATAGATTGAATGGCAGGCCGCTTGCCCAACGAAAAACAGTAAACAATTGATTGGCTATATTATGCTATATTGATGGTGACGCCAGTCAGAGAATCACTATGAGCAACTTTTTGTGGATAGTGATGTTCCACATCTGAAGCTAGGCAGGCATGGAGACATTGGTTCAACGGTTCAACCGCATCCGGAACTCACCTGCTTTTGACAGAGCAAACTAGCCATAGCCGTCCATAGCTAATTCTTCCAACACAAACTGGGATTTGATGGGGCCAGGTTCCATATACTTTCTGAAGAATCTGCAAGTAAATCAAAGTAACCTGGTCTGTGTGCAAATAGGGCGAGAATGGATAGCATGCACAATTTCTTGCCCTAAACCAACAACTCACAAACCGTCTATGCTACCGTTTGCACCGTCTATGTACTCACCCGTTTGCACTGTCTATCTTCACACGACACAGGTCATTTTGGAGAATACTTCATTGCATATGGGACCTAGCCTGCCTTTATCACCATCAACACCCATCTGACTGTGTTACTATTAACTATCTGTTTCGGATGATTCCTGCTCACAGCGAAGCGCGCCTGGCCATCACCCTTGAGCACATCCTGCATCATGCGCTTCAAATCCTCCCGAAAGTCATTCACGCCTCATTGCAGACCATTGTCACAATCTGCTCTCGACTTGGAACGGCTGTCGGAACGGTGGAACAAACTGTATGCCTTTGGAAGGGTTGACACTTAAATACCGACAAGCTTGCCCCACATCTCCTCGCAGCTGAGAACGAACTTGCTGAGTGAAACACCAGAATCCCTAAAATTGCTCTCCTTCTACAAAAATACTACTGACCGTCTTTATGGGAATCTCGGTAGTCACCTGATCAAATAGAATCAAGGCCGGTATGAACCAAATCCGATACAAGTCAAATTTCAACAGACCTGTACAGTATAAATCTATGCACAGTTTGCCCATCGACTTTGTCATTGTAGTGGATCACAAACACAAAAGGTTAAACAAACAACAAGATGGAGCCCACGAACCCGAATGCAAACACGTTCGAAAAGCTACATATGTCCAAATGACACTCTTGTAGGACACTCTTGTGGGGCACTCTTGTGGGTCACTCTTGTAGGAAACTCTTGTGGGACACTCTTGTGGGACACTCCTGTAGGACACTCTTGTGGGATACTCTTGTGGGGCACTCTTGTGGGACACTCTTGTAGGACACTCTTGTGGGACACCCTTGTAGGACACTCTTGTGGGACACTGTTGCAGGACACTCTTGTGGGGCACTCTTAAGGGACACTCTTGTGAGACACTCTTGCGGGACACTGTTGCGCGACACTCTTGTGGGACAATTCTGTGGGACACTCATTTGGGACACTCTTGCGGTACACTCTTGTGGGACACTCTTGTGGGACACTCTTAAGGGACACTCTTGTGAGACACTCTTGCGGGACACTGTTGCGGGACACTCTTGTGGGACACTCTTGCGGGACACTCTTGTGGGACACTCTTGTAGGACACTCTTGTAGGACACTCTTGTGGGACACTCTTATAGGACACTCTTGTAGGAAACTCTTGTGGGACACTCTTGTAGGGCACTCTTGTGGGACACTCTTGTAGGACACTCTTATAGGACACTCTTGTGGGACACTCTTAACTCTTGTGAAACACTCTTGTGGGACACGGTTGCGGGACACTCTTGTGGGACACTCTTGTGAGACACTCTTACGGGACGCTCTTGTAGGACACTCTTGTGGGACACTCTTGTAGGACACTCTTGTGGGACACTCTTACGGGACACTCTTGTTGCACATTCTTGTAGGACACTCTTGTGGGTCACTCTTATGGGACACTCTTGTCGGACACTCTTGTGGGACACTCATACGGGACACTCTTGTGGGACACTCTTGTAGGACACTCTTGTGGGACATGCGGGACACTCTTGTGAGACACTCTTGTAGGACACTCTTGTGGGACACTCTTGTGAGACACTCTTGTGGGACACTCTTGTGGGACACTGTTATAGGACACTCTTGTAGGAAACTCTTGTGGGACACTCTTGTAAGACACTCTTGTGGGGCACTCTTGTAGGACACTCTTGTGGGACACTCTTGTACGAAACTCTTGTGGGACACTCTTGTAGGAAACTCTTGTGGGACACTCTTGTGGGACACTCTTGTAGGAAACTCTTGTGGGACACTC